CAGGGTTTCCCTGTGTGGCCTTGGCTGTGGACCAGGCTGGCCTCAAACTCACTCTATGGACCAGGCTGGCCTCAAACGCAAAGAAAAAATACAATTCTTAAAAGCCTGCATACATGAAGTGCACATAAATGGACACAGCTGTGCATAAACTCAAATATACACATAAATAAAAATAAAATAAATATTTATTCCTCAAAAAGCCTAGAGGAGCTGGGCATGGTATGTATACTCGTGATCCCTAAGTTTGGGAAGTTGGGGCTGTGAGTTTGAGGCCAGGCTAAGCTACATAGAAAATTCAAGAGCACTCTGAACTAGCTACATAGAAACAAACAAACAAATAAATAAATAAATAAAGGCAAAATTAAAAAGTGAAGGACTCAGCAGGTAAAGACGCTTCCTGCACAAGCCTGACTGTATGGGTTCAATCCCCAGAGCACAACACACACACACACACACACACACACACACACACACACACACACACACACCACATAATGAAAATAAAATAGACAGACAAAGGCTATAGAACAAATTACTCCCTCCTCCTTAGGCATGGGCTGAATCTCCTTTTGCACAGCCCATGCTCATCTCTCAACCGCCAGACCTGCCGTCCCCACCTATCACATCTCCTCTCTTCCCTCATCTAACCTACCCTTTCCACAGAATTAGACAAATGCAGGCACCGACCAAAGATGGTTTTAGAAGAGAGAAAGACACTAGTTCTTGGGTCCTTTCCAATGGGGGTCACTTCAGCTGCCTGTGACCCTTAACCAAAGAGCCTGTGTACATAAATGTCTGTCTCTGGGCTCTGCTGGCATCTTTTCTTTCCCATGCCTAGTCAGAGGCTCCCATGTTTCCCCCCCTCCTCTGCCCACCCACTAGGTGCGGGAAGGTCCCTAGGCCTCTGGCCAGCCCCTGCTTAGCCTCCCTCAGGGTATCCAGCTCTGTCCAGCTTTCCTCATTCTCAGTGTCGGTGGAAACAGCTCTCTGGGATCCACAGGAGTCTGCATGCTTGGTCCTCACCCTCAATTGCTCAGCATCTTTTGAAACTGGTGTATCCCAGGCTTCTTTTGACACTTTTGCCCCATCCATAGCTGGGGAGGAGAAAGTATATACTAGCTCGATTGGCTTCTTTCTCTCTCCCTAGATACTGGGGCCCTCTTTGCTCTGGGGAGATGTCCCAGCTTTGGTATTTCACCCCCTCATCCTGTCCCCCAGTGCATGCAAAGTCTATCTCTGTCCTTGAACCCATGTTTCTAGATCCCTGTCCCAAGAATCCAGACCTCTTAGATTAGACATGCCTCTAACCTGCTTCAGTGTCTTCCCTGTGCATCCGTATCTCCCTTTGCCTGGACTCAACCAGTCATCCCAGTTCAGCCTCCCCCACTCTCTCTCTGTCTCCACCTCCACTCTGTTTGACCCCCTCACTCACCCCCAGACAAGGTTCCACACACAGATTTATCCGGGCTCCTCCCTTGCTGGTATTTTGAAGTTCTTTTACAACCCCATTTCATTTTAGCCCACTGGCCTCCAGTGTAGAGGAAATCATAAATCAGCGTGAGTGAGGGCTTCCCTAGGGTGGAGCACATTTTTTCCCCAAGGTGCAACTCTGAGATGGCCTCTTCCAGGCAGCCAGCCTTCCTCCCCTTCCTCCTACCAGGTCACTGCCCCTGCCCGGTTCCTTACTCACTGGGGCCTGACCACATTCTTGTTGTATTTCTGTTCCTGTCCGGCTTTGTCTCCTCTGTCCTTTCTCTGGAGCAGGACTGACGGTGTTCTATCAGTGGCATGAGAACGAACGAACCAATGAATGAATGAATGAATGAATGAGCGAGTAAGTAGGTGAATGAATGAGTGAATGAATGATGGAAAGGGGGTTGAAGGCAAGGGCTTAGAGAACCTGATTTGGAACCCAGCCCTCCACTCCCGCCCAAAGTGATGCTTATGCTAGGTCCCCAGGTCAGAAGGAAATGACTCCCTGATTGATTGGCTCAGGCTGGGGAAAGCCAGCCTTGGTCAGAGGACTCTGCCCAATGGATATGACCCCTCCTTTAGAAAACCCTTCCTCCACTGGCTCCCACTCCCTCTCTGGAATTGCGTGCGGGGTGAGGGTGAGGTGGGATGGGGTGGGGGTGGGGAGACTGAGTGGGATGGACTGACGGAAGGCAGAGCCTTCTAGTCACCCTGGCAACCGTCCCAGCAACTGTCCAAGGCCTCCGGTCAGCCTTTGTCTGGGGCCTCTCTAGTCACCCAGACAACCGCTACCTCGTTCTGGTCAACCATCAACGCTTCTCCCGTCACCCTGGCAACCATCAGTGGACCCACCACCTAGGTGTCGATCCTCATCCGGGCTACAGATTTTCTCGCCCCAGACCTCCACTCTAGGCTCTGAGAGTCCCTCCTCCTGATCTGCAGGAAGGCAGGCCTTGGTTCTGCCCTATAGTGCGAGTAGGCCGGGCCCTAGGGGTCCCCGATCTGCAGTCTGAGAAAGTTCTTTCCTGTCTCCCCGCACGCATTCTTGCATGAACTGTCCAGCCGCCACAGGCAGCTCTTCAAAATGCAAGCCATGTCTCCCCTCTGTTTAAAAAAAAAAAAAAAAAAAACCTCTCCCCGGATCCCTTTGACAATCAGTCTGCTTGCAGCCCCTGATGGTCTGGGAGCAGTGACTAGACTCCCTGTTATTCCAATGCCCAGAGCTCACTCCCTCTTTTGACCTTCCCAGTAGCTGTTTCCCATTCCTGGGAGAAGTGCGTCCCGGCCCGCCCCCTCGAGGACTGTGGTTCCTCAGGGAAGCCTTATCTGAGTTCTGTCACTCACCAGCATAGTCTCTTATTCCCTCCCTGTCTGTGAACTCAGAATTCCAAGATGGCCCCTGACTCACATTCTATCCCCAGAACTTACAACAATGGCAGTTGAGTAAAGCAATGATATGATGAGTAAAAAGTACGTCTCTTTAGGGGTAAGGGGGGTGGGGGCAGCACAAAGGGCTCTGGTTAGGCATTTCCAAAACAGAAAGCATTTTTCAGGTTTCCCAAGCCCTCATGCTACAGGTGATACTGTTTCCAGAGGATGAGCAAAAGCCAGGGCAGTGGGAGCCAGCCGGATGGCTCATCTGGAGAAGGTGCTTGCTGCCAAGCCTCGGGTGTTGACTTTGATCCCCGGGACCCACATAGTAGAAGGAGAGGAGGAACTTTTGCAAGCTGACTTCTGACATCCTCAACAAGCATTGTAGCACTAGGCACACACACAATACGTAAGTAAAAACTAATAAATGCAATAATAATAATAATAATAATAATAATAATAATAATAATAATAATAATAATAATAAAAGAGGGTAGGGGAGATGATTCAGTGGATAAAGATGCCTGTCATCAAGCCTCATGGTCTGCGTTCTGATGCCAGGACCCACACAGTGGACAGAAAGACCAACTCCTTCAAGATGTCCTCTGACATCTCGTGTGTGCATATCCCCCTACACACACACACACACACACACACACACACACACACACACAAATGCACATGAAATAAATTAATTAAATGTAATTTTAAAAAAGAGAGAGGGAGTCAGGCAATGGTGGCTCACTTTGATCCCTGCACTCAGGAGACAGACAGACAGATCTCGGCGTTCCAGGCCAGCCTGGTCTACAGAGTGAGTTCCAGGACAGCCAGAACTACTAACAAGGAGAAACCCTGTTTCAAAAAAACAAAAACAAAAAATAACAACAGTAGTAATAATGATAATAATAATAATAATAATAATAGTTGGGCATGATGGCTCATTTCTTTAATCCCAGCACTTAGAAGGCAGTGACAGGTGGATCTCTGTGAGTTTGAGGTCAGCCACGGCTACATGGTGAGATCCCGTCTCAAAATAAATAAATAAAAATTAAAGACAACGGCAACACAATAGGCAGACTCAGTAGTGTACGCCTTTAGTCCTAGTCCTGGTGAACCAAGTCAGCCTGGTCTACACAGCAAATTCGAGGCTGTACACGAGACCCTGTCTCAAAATAAATAAATAATCAGTGAATTAATTAATTGTAAAAGACTAGGCAACAGAAATAACACTATGATGGTTATGACCAGTCTGGGGCTGGTGGGCCACTTCACCCTTGTTGTATAATTGTTTTGTTTTTCTAAGACTGTGTTTTGCTCTGTAGCTTAAGCTAGTTTCATTCCCACTCCACAGCTCAAGCTGGCCTCGAACCTGTGATCATTTTTCACAGCCTCCTGTACTGAGCTTACAGGCTTTCACCACCTACCATGCCCAGCTTTCACCCTCCATTTGTAACCTCGTCATTTGGAGGCCTGTAGACACTCAGCAGAATTTTGGCCAAGTCAGATATGGTAGCGCATGCCTGTAACCCCAGCACTCAGGAGGCTTTGGCAAGAAGATCTCCGGTTCAACACCGGCTTCGGCTACTCAGAACAAAAAATGGCAAATTAGAGCAGAAGACAATAAGAGCTGGAGGCCTCAAATCCCAAACGGTGGCCATTTATTCCATGTGCAGTGTATGTGTGTACGCGTGTGTGCATGCACGTGTGTCACTGTGTACATGTGGAGGTCAGAGGACAAGTTGTGAGAGTCAGCTCTCACCTTCCATCATGTGAGCCTCAAGGATTGAAGTCATCAGGGTTCAGGCTTAGCGGCAAGTGCCTTTACCTGCTGAGCCATCTTGCATGCTCCCAATGTCCACTCGGGGAGCTGGTCCCTTCTTGTCCTGAGTCTAGCATCCCAGGCTTCCTAACAGAGCCCAGAGCTATTTCCCTGGGGATCTGAGACAGGCTGAGAGGAGAGAATTTAAGCTGACTTGGATTTGGTCATGATGGAGAGGAGGATCATTGGGAGCCGCCTTGGGTTTAACTGGGTAGGGGTGGGCACACTCACCTGTTTTCCTGTGAGGGTCTGTTCTTGGTTAGGTGATTAGACGCTGGCAGGGAAGCAGGTCACTCTTTGTTGTTCTTATTTGTTTATTTATTTTTGAGAAAATAAGCGGAAACTTTTATTCATTCATTTCTTGCATTGGAAGTACTCTTCGATGACATCTTTGGCCTGAAATTCTTTGCCATAGTCCTTAACCATTACCCAACTGCAGCCAACCACTTTACCAGGCTTCCCCGCTCCTCAGTTTCCAGGCTTACTCATTCCCCTAATTTCTTGCTGTCATCAACCTTAATTAGGTTGATTTGGCGCTCAGCACAAAGTGCCTCCCCTGACTTGACGTCCATAGGCTCATCACAGCTGGATGCAAGCACACAGAGATGGGCTTGGCGCTTGTCTAAGGCTTTGCCAGCTTCATGGATGCCAAGTGATAGGCCATTGTGGATGAGGGCGGTCTTCAGCACCTCTTGAACTCAGCAATATTCCCACCTCAGCTCTTCAAGTGTTGAGATTGCAGGGGTGCACCATTGTGTCCAGCAAGCCCCCCTTTCTTTTTGAAAGTTGATTCACTTATTTTGCATTTGTGTGGCTGTGTGCACATTCACCTGAACTCGGGCTCTCAGGGTTGGTAGCAGGTACCCTCACCTGAGGAGCCATCTTTTTGGGGGGGGGATTTTTAGACAGGGTTTCTCTGTGTAGCCTTGACTGTCCTGGAACTCGCTCTGTAGACCAGGCTGGCCTTGAACTCACAGAGATCCGCCTGCCTCTGCCTCCCCATCGCTGGGATTAAAGGCGTACCCCATCACCGCCACCCGCCAAACCATCTTTCTTAAGCTGGTAATATCATCTTTGAATTTGATATTCAAATTCAAAAAGAAAGAGTTTGATACAACTTTCTATACTTACATGATTTAGCAGTTAAAACACAGCTATTGTGACCAAGGCACTGTCTTTTTTTAAAAAAAAATACATGTGTACTTCTTGCTGGGTGGTGGTGGCACACGCCTTTAATCCCAGCACTGTGGAGGCAGAGGCAGGCGGGTCAGCCTAGTCTCCAGAGAGAGTTCCATGACAGCCAAAGCTTCACAGAGAAACCCTGTCTTGAAAAAAAAAAATTTATTGCTCTATAAGAGCAATAAATGCTCTTCACCACTGAGCCACCTTCCCAGCTCTGGAGGCACTGTATTTTTCACAGTAAAATGAAATTTCACTTTAGCTAATTAACATGTAAATTGAAGTATCCTTGTGGGTTAGGAATAAATTGGATGCAGCTGGTGATGGTGGCGCTTGCCTTTAATCCCAGTACTCTGGAGGCAGAGGCAGGCGGATCTCTGAGTTTGAGGCCAGCCTGGTCTACAGAGTGAGTTCCAGGAGAGTCAGGGCTACACGGAGAAACCTTGTCTCAAAAAACAAAAAAGAAATATATTGCTCGCAATATTGGAGAAGACCTAAACTGCAGATTGGAGGTAGAGAACAAGACAGAAAGGTTAGAATTTGTGGTTTATGTAGCCACTGGGGCAGGAACGCTTTGGAAAAGAGGGGTAAGACAGTCTTATCTTCTGACTCCACAAGGGAGAAGCATTCTTGGCTACCAGAGTCAAACAGCCATGCTATGTGTGAGGCAGGGCACCCATGGATGCTTTTGTGTGCAACAGTGGAGTCATTTGCTGTGGGTGAGCTGGGAGTCCATCCTGTGTGCACACACTGCACAGACTCTCAGGTCCACAAGGACGGAGGGTGTGTGCTCCTGCATATTATGTACCTGTTGGGCTGGCGAGCAGGGGCCACTAGTCCAGTAGGTCTTGCAAGAAGGCCCACATGTACTGATGCATCTCCTGAGGATGGGTCTGTGGAATCCAGTGCCCACTGCCTGGCAGGATGTGGCTTTCCAGCCGACCTGGCACAAAATGACTACCAATGGCTCCCACAAGCCCCTGCTGTAAGGTGTGGTCTTTCTCCCCCCACAGCAGCAGTGTGGGTGTGGACAGTTCTTGGGGCTCCAGGGGGAAGTTCCTACGGCCAAGACAGACAGTTAGAAGAATGGCTACCTTCATTTTGGGGGTGGGGGGAGCTGGCACGCTCCTGAGCTTCTCTCCTGGGTGTAGCCTTACCTGAACAGGTTCCGATAGTAGTTGATGGGCCCCGTGAGGCCTCCAGGTTGCGAGAAGTGATAAAGGAAAGCTTCGAGTTCACAAGGGGTCAGACGCGGGATGCCCTTCTTGCGGTGGGTGAAAACGGCTTTCAGAATCTGGGTGTAAACAGTGGAGTGCTGGTTTCAGTGTCCAGCCTGCTCAGCCCCAATCTGCTACTCCCCTCTTCCTGGACCTCAGCCCACACTGCACCTGGAAGTCCGACAAAGACAAGAGCGTCTCTGGCAACCAGGGAAGCTGGAACAGGAACACGTAGTTCGATCGGAATAACTGGCCAATGTGGCGGATTGAGTATTCTAGGAAGAGGGTAAAGGATGTGAGGTCTGGGCTTGAGACGGCCCTGTGCTCCTATATCCCTACACACCCAGCTCAGGCACACGGGCCTCTAGAACACCACTACTGCTGGCCTGTCTGTGAAGACACTGACCCCACTGTGGCTGAGTACTGCCCTGCCACGTTTTCTTTAGAGCTGCAGAACAGGCCAAGCTAGAGAGATGGCTCAGTGTTTAGAAGTGCTTGCTGCTTTGCCGCGGCCTGAAGTTTGCTTCCTAGGACTCATATTGGGTGGCATACAATGGCCTGTAACTCTAGCTCCATGGGATCTAATGCCCTCTTTTGGCCTCCATGGCAGTCGTGTACACACACATACACACACACACACACACACACACACACACACACAGAGAGAGAGAGAGAGAGAGAGAGAGAGAGAGAGAGGAGAGAGAGAGAGAGAGAGAGAGAGAGAGAGAGAGAGAGAGAGAGAGAGAGAGAAACATATAACAAAAATAACTCTTTTAAAAAAAAATATGGGCCGGGTGACGGTGGCACACGCCTTTAATCCCAGCACTTGGGAGGCAGAGCCAGGTGTATCTTTGTGAGTTCGAGTCCAGCCTGGTCTACAGAGCAAGATCCAGGACAGCCAGGGCTCCACAGAGAAATCCTGTCTCGAAAAAGCAATCAAGCAAACAGAAGAATGGGGATGCCTTCCTCTGTAGCTCCTTTGTGCCCCCAGAGATACCAGCAGGCTTCCTCTGCTTAGGCCTGGACATAGTTCCCCTGCTTCACCCAATAAACATTTATTGAGCACCTACTGTGTACCAGGGTCCTGCAGAAAGGAGTAGAAGAAGACAGATACCAAACAGTGACGATTACAGTGCTATTCAGGTAAGACATGGGGTGCAGTTCAGTGCAGAGTACGGGATTAGCAATCTTGAGGCTCTAGATTCTATCATCTCCTCCTCTACCCCCACACTAACTAACCAATAAATGGAGGTCAATGACAAAAGACATTAGGTGACCCGAGAGGGCATCTGACTCATTGTGGTGCGGTTGGCGAGTTGTCTGTGTCTTCCACTGTCAAAAGAAAGACATCAGTGCTGGGGATAGAGGCACACACACGCCTTTGATCCCAGCATTCAGGAGGCAGAGGCAGATGTATCTCGAGGAGTCCAAGGCCAGCCTGGGAGATGTAGCAAGCTCCAGGCCGGCAAAGAAAGAAAGAGACAACATTGTTTCCTTTGCCTCAGTTTCCCTCAGCTGGAACATAAAGCTAACAACACTTTGGTAAAACCCAAGAGCCTTGTAAAGTGATGCTATGCAAGTTTACCACAGGCAACTGGCAGGCCGAGGTTGACCACCCTCGTCAAAAAAAAAAAAAATTTGGTTTTTTGAGACTGTATTTTTGTATAGTCTTGAAACTAGCTCTTTAGACCTGGCCTCTAACTCACAGAGATCTACCTGCCTCTGCCTCCCGAGTGCTGGAATTAAAAGCATGTGAGACCACACCTTGATGAAACTTTTCAGTGTTATTATGGTACTACACGTGGGAAATTCCACAGCTGACCTCTGATGGTTCGATGTACACTCGTGTGTGTGTGTGTGTGTGTGTGTGTGTGTGTGTGTGTGTGTGTGTCTGTGTGTGTGCGCTATGGTGTGTCATGTTTGTTACAAATAGGATCTTGTTGTATAGCCCAGGCTGGCCTCTAACTCATGATCCTCCTGACTCAGTTTCCCAAGTACTGATTTTTCTTTTAGACTTATTTTTGTTTTGTTTTGCATCAGTTTTTTTGAGACAAGATCTCGCTGTGCAGCTCTGGCTGTCCTGGAACTAACTATGTAGAGCAGGTTAGCCTCAAACTCACAGAAATCTGTCTCTGCCTCCTGAGTTTTGGCATTAAAGGTGCGCACCACTATGACTGACTTCTTTTTAGACTTATTATTTTTATTTATGTGTATGGGTATTTTGTCTACATGTATGTATGTGTACAGTGTATGTGCCTGATATTCACAGAGGCCAGATGAGGACATTAGATCTCTCGGAACTGGAGTTCCAGGTGACCATGAGCCACCATGTGGGCACTAGGAATCCAAGAGTTCTTCGACTAGCAAGTGTTCACTGCTCATCCGTCACTCCAGCCCCGGCCCGCCCCAAGTGCTGAGATTAATAGGGGTATGCTAGTATAGCCAACTCCACAAACTTACCTTCATACACAAAATTACTAAAATTATTGTATTAATTACTTTCAGTCTGCGTGTACAAAGTGTATAAGAAGATTAAATTAATTTCATACTTAGATTTAGGCTCTAGCAAACAAGTTATTGTTTTATATGTATAAATGCTCTAAAACAAAACAAAATACAAAATCAGAAACATTCCTGACTGGGACCTTCCTCTCCCTCCTCTCTCTCTGAACTGGGACCTTCCTCTTCTCTCTCTCTCTCTCTCTCTCTCTCTCTCTCTCTCTCTCTCTCTCTCTCTCTCTCTCCCCTCACTCCTTCTCTCTCTCTCAATGTTGGAGATTATATCCAGGCCCTCTAATATACTAAACAAATGTTCAACCACTTAGCTGTACCCCAGCCCTAGTCCAAAGCGTTTTGTTATACTCAGGTTATTCCTAAGTACATTCTCATTGATTTCTGTCCCTGACACAGTGACAGGTCACAGACGTACACCCTGGCATTTAGGCACATCCCAGCACTCCCCACGCACCTTGGAACACCGACATAGGAGGTCCACTGACCACGACCATCCGCTCCACTAGGGATGGGAAGTAGATGGAGAAATTCCAGGCAAGGATAGCCCCCCAGTCATGGCTCACAAGGATGCACTTGGAGTACCCTGGTGGGGGGCAAAGATGCTGGTGTAAGATGTAGTAGGGGTGAGGTAGAAGTGTGGGAGTGGGTCCCAAAAGGAGCAAAGATGAGGAGATGAGTGTCCAGGATGGGAGAGGCCTGTCCTGAGTGGGGTACGGAATCATACCCAGGCCTAGAATGATATCCTTGATATCAGCCAACAGCAGGTCAATGGTATAACAGTCCACATCCTTTGGAGCATCTGAGGGGCCGTAACCACGCAGGTCCACAGCTACCACATGGAAACGGCTCTGGAACTCCCGCAGCTGGTAGCGCCAGGAGAACCTGCCCGGTGAGGGAGTTGAGAGTTGAGTCAGCTGTCTGCAGGATGTACCTACCTCCTATACCCAGCAGATATCTTAGGCCACCCCGCCTTTCTGCTCCGGACTTCTTAGAAAGGAAATGGGGGAATTCCGGGCAGAGAGGCCCAAGGCCACCTCACCTTCAATAACTCCCTGGTCCAGTCTCTTCAGAGGGATAACCCACCCTTTGGGGCGGTATCTCTGCCCCTTTGCCCACCTTCTGTGCTTTTTATGCTTTGTACCCCCAGGACTACTCAACCCTGTTAGTTCCCATTTTCTCATGGTCAGAGCTCTACTTTTCCCCAGTCCAGTGAGCACCAGGACCCAGGGACCCAGACTTACCAGTTCTCTGGGAAGCCATGCAGAAATAGCATGAGGGGCCCGTTGCCGCGACCAGCAGAGACATAGTGAAGACGTAGGCCGGAACTCTGAGGGAAAGCCCAATCTAAGTAAGAGCTGAGGTAGGTAAGGGAGCTTCCTTCCTAGATGGGCCCAGATCCATTTGGACTCCATGTTTCAACCCCCTTTCTTCATTCTCCATCCACCCCACCCACGAAACCTGCCTCCAAGGGGCACTCACCCTAAGGGTCAGAAAGCAGTGCTCGCCCAGCGTGGGGTCTCTCAGGCAGTCTGGCGCCGACAGCCGCTGGCGGCCGCAGCAGCCCCGGCGGGGGCGGCACAGCACGGTGGTGAGCGCGCTGCAGCTGTAGACAGCGGCGGCCACCAAGGCAGCCAGATACACCAGGCTCATCACCAAGGCGCGCAGCAGCCTCAGCGAGAGGCGTGAGGGCGCCAGCAGCGCCGTCACCACAAACTCCGGCATATCCTCGCGTTCTGGGACAACGACAGAGCCGTGGCCGGAGGACTGAACCGGCGGTGCCGGCTCCGGGAGCCCACCGCCTTTGTTTTGGGATCCCACTGTGCTGTCGGGCGCTGCGGAACCCCCAGAGGAGACAGGTGAACGGCTCGGGCAGAGACTGCCACCGCACATGACTCACTCCCAAGTGGCAGGTAAACGACCTGGGCTGGGAGACACTTAAAGATGAAGGAGGTGGAGCCTGAGAGGATCTGGTTTCTGTGGTTGGGGAGGAACTTTGGGGGAAAGAGGGACCGTAGGCAGCGCCCTAGGTCATCTTGGATGGAGCTTAAGACAGGCACAGGGGATTAAAATGATTCCTGTAGCAAGCAGGCGGCGGTGTTCAGGGCCTAGAGATGGCTCAGCAGCTAAGGGCACTTGGCGCCACGCCCGGCCACCTAAGTTTGATCCCTGGGAACCACAGTGGTAGGAGAGAACTGACTCTCACAAGTTGTCCCCTGACCACACTCACGCTGCAGCACGTGCACCGCTCGGTGCTTTAATCTCAGCAGAAGCAGGCAGATCTCTGAGTTCAAGGCCAGCTGATTTATTTAGCAAGTCAGGGCTACATACAAAAAATACACTGGCAAGGCTCTAAGGAATGCGAGTTGAAGCCTGGAGTAACAGAGGGAAGCGCTCTGTGAGATGGGTGGAGCTTTGAGCGAAGGGGCCTGGCATACTCAGGGTGGGTGGACTCAATTTAGCCCAGATGCTGTGCAAGGGTGTGGGGCGCGCTTTATGAAGGTGGAAGGGGAATTAGGGGGAGTCTGTATTTAGATGAGAAAGACAAAGGCTGGGCTTGTTGGCTTGGGTAAAGGCTAGACGCAAGAACTGGAGTTTGTTCTGAAGCTGCAGAGAGGCCGGAAACTGACCCGAGAGTGGAGCAAACCCAGAAGCGGAAGGCTGGACAGCCCTATATAGACAGCTGGGAGTAGTAGGCAGATGTGGGCAGTAGGAGTCTCATCGTGTACTTCTAAGCTAGAGGGCACGACATTCCCCTTGACCTCGACCTTCTCCTGGTCTGGATGGGACCCATCACCGCTTTTACCTGGTTCCAACCCCACCGTGTCCTCTCGTCTCGTTGGTTTAGAAAGTCCGTCGATCCACCCCTACACGACTGTGATTGGACAGCAGTGGCCATGGATTTCTAAACGAAGGGTGGGGCCTAGGTGCTAAGTAGCTCGTGTTGAGGTTCAGGCTCTGTAGGTGGCAGCTAAGCCTGGGCAAACCCTGCCTGCTTCCTGGAGAACAGGCCCGACTTGGAAGCTGGGGCTAGCCTGGGCAGACTGGGTCACTGCAGCTCTGGCTGAAAGAGGAAACAGGGCAGCGCCCGGTATGATGGGGCATTGCGTCGAGTCGTGTCTCAGCAAGAAGTCAGCTCCTTTTGCAACCTTTCCCAAGATCCTTTACTATTTTAGGGACACCCATTATTTAACCCTTGTAGCAACCCTGGTACATGTAGGTAGCATTATCATATCCTCACATTACAGATTATGAACCTGAAATTCCGGGATGAGGTCATTTTGCCTGAAGTTATCTATCATCTATCTGCCTTAGCAGCAATCCGGAACAACATGGAAGCAGCAACCTGTGTTTCATCCAACACTGAGGCCACTGGCAAGCTTTCAAATTTCTTCTGGCGGTTATCTAGAGAAATATTAGGTATATAGAGAGAAGCACTTCTGTAGCTGCTTCTATCATTGTGGTAGTATTGACTGAGCCTAGAGCTTTGCACATGCAGGGTAAGCACTTCAGCAGGGAGCTTCATTCTTAGCCTTAAAAAAATTGATTACTGAGTATTACTCAGCTGCTAAAAATTTTTTTGCAAGCATGAAACTTATAGGCAAATGAATGGAACCAGGAAAAAAAATCATGCTGAGGTAACCTAGCCCTAGAAAGATAAATATGGTATGAATTCACTTAAATGTGGGAATCAGCCATTAAATAAACGATAACCAACCTACCGTCCATAGACCCAGAGCGGTTAGGTATAGAGGAAGGAACATGGATCTCCCTGGGAGGGATTTTAGAATAGATTTTATGTGGGGACATGTGGAGATTGGAACAGGAGGATCAGGTAGGGAGGAGAAATGGGTTGAGAGAGGGAATAGAGGAGAGACAGCTGGAATAGAGAGGCATTTGAAGGATGGTATGGAAACCTAGTGCAGTGGAAACATCTTAAAATATATGAGGGTGATCCTAATGAGGTCTCCTAATAGGGGAGACAGAGTCTCAACTGACCATCTCTTGTCACCAAACGAGGCTTCCAGTACCAGGACTGGGTTGCAAGCTGTTGGCCAATGGGGTCCCATGGGAATTCCCAAACAACCCAGGCTGTTGCTAAAACAATGGGTTGCTCTCTGCAAACTGGCAGTGAGTATTGCAGAGGACAATACCCACACAACTCACTGAACAAGGAGAAGTGGAGCTGGTACCTATACCCCTATGTTCTAGTGTCTTTGGTTCAGAAAGGTACTCTGCAGGCTACCAAAAGAGAAACGTAAACACCAACCTAGATACAAAACTTTTGACCTACAATTTGTCCTGTCTGAAAGATATGCTAGGGCAAATGGTGGCACAGAACTTGTGGTCTGGTTTGACTTAAGCCCACTCCATGAGACAGAACCCACACCCAACACTGCTTAGGTAACAAAGAACCAGAGGCTAGATAGCCTAGAGACCTAGGGTAAAAACAAATACTATTGGTCAAAAAAAAAAAAAAGTATCAATGGATTGACTCATAATGATCTTCTGTTCTACTCACAGATCAATGCCTTAATTAGTCATCATCAGAGAAGCTTCCTCCTGCAGCTCATGGGAGCAGATACAGAGACCCACAGCCAGAGAGAGTCCTTGGAACACTTAGCACTAAGTGGGAGGTCTCCATCAAATCTTTCCCCTCAGAGCTCAGAGAACCCCAAGGAAGAGGAGGTGGAAAGAGTGGAAGAGCCAGAGAGAATGGAAGGCACCAGGAGAACAAGGCCCTCTGAATCAACTAAGCAAGGCTCATATGAATTCACAGAGATGGAAGCAGCAAGCATAGACCAGGTCCTCTGGGTATATAGCTTTCATTCTGCTCAGTATTTTATTGGGACTTCTGATTGTGTGAAGAAGTGGACTTTTTTTGTTTGTTTTTTGAGCCTGAGTAGCCTTGGCTGTCCCAGAACTTCCTTTGTAGACCAGGTTGGCCTTGAACTAATAGATTCACCTGCCTCTGCCTCTCAAGTGCTGGGATTAAAGGCATGCACCACCACAGCCCAGCTGGGTCTCTGATTCTTGTGCCCGCTCCTGGGGCTCTTTTCCTTCTGTTGACTTGCTTTGTCCAGACTCAGTCTTTTAAAGGCCTGTTCTTCTCTAATGAGACAGAAATGAAGTGGATCCAGAGGAGAGGGCAGGTAGGATGAAACTGGGAGTAGAGGGAGGGAAAACTATAATCAGGAACTCCCCCTTTTATTGAAAAATAATATTTTCAATAAAGGGGGGAACAATTATTACTCTTTATTGGTTTTTGTTTTCATGCTGACTCTTGCAGCCATGTAGCTTAGGTTGGCCTGCGACTGGGCTCCCCTTCCGGCTTGATGGGATTACATACAAATTCTTGAGACAAGATCTTATAAACTGCTTAGGATCCTCTTGTGTTTCAGCCTTCTGAGAAGGCCCTGATGCCTGACTGAGTGGCTAGCTCTGAGACAGGGCTCCGTGTACCCTACAGCTGGTTTCAAACCTTCTATGTAGCGAATGACCAAGAACTTCTGATCCACCTGCTTCACTCCTATTATAATTACAGGGATGCATCACCACGTCTGGTTTGTGTGATGCTGCAATTAAACCCAGAACCTCCTGCATGCTAGGCAAGCATGCTACCAGCTGGGCCTTTCTAAGTGGCTAGTTATACATTTACCATCTTGGAGCATTACCTCTCAATAAGTCACTCTTATCACCACTTATTGCACATGGCTCCCTCACTTTTCTATACTCTACTCATCTCTTGCTCCACTTGCCACTGTTATACGCCTTTTTATTATCAAACAGGATACTAAACAGTGTATTTATTCTGCACAAGGACGATAATTAAACCCTTGGAGAATGGCCATTCATTGTTCAACCTCAGTAAAAAATCCACTTGAGCCGGGCGGTGGTGGCGCACACCTTTAATCCCAGTACTCGGGAGGCAGAGCCAGGCGGATCTCTGTGAGTTCGAGGCCAGCCTGGGCTACCAAGTGAGTCCCAGGAAAGGCGCAAAGCTACACAGAGAAACCCTGTCTCGAAAAACCAAAAAAAAAAAAAAAAAAAAAATCCACTTGAGTAGAATGACACTGTCTTTATTGTTCTGACTTTACCATCTCTTTTCTTGCATGATTAACCTGTACTGCTTTTTTGGGGGTGGGAAGGGGCGCTGGCCACCTACTCACATTTTTCCTGCCTCCAACCCTCCTGAGTGTTGTGATTGTAAGTGTGAACCACCACCACCACACCAGGCTAACTTTGGTTTCTTTAATATTCCATAAGATTAATTATCTAACATGGTGTTCCCAGGATTTCTACTGAGCCTCCAACGTGGCTCTCTGGCCAATAGGCATCTAAGAACTTCCCTTTATTGAACTCCACTATACAATTTTGTCTCTACACCCCAAGTAACCTCCATTTTCCAACTCTACACTCAGAAAGACATCAGTAATCACAGGAGGGTAACTTTATATTCAGTACAAATGTTTATTTTTGCAATGAGAACTGCACAAAAAAAAACCCCTTTAGTATATAAGTGAAAAGTCTATGAATTTCCTTCTACAAATATCTAAAGTATTTTAATACAAGTCTCAGATTCACTGACATAAATTATTGGCCAAGCGACCCGTGCATACAGTACAGTGGGGGCTTGTACACACCTTATTCTTGTATAGGACTAAGATGTTCTAGTACTGCGGGAAGGACTTGAAAATGGTCAGAAATTAAATAGATCCCAGTTCTAATTACAACCCAGTTAGAGGAACACCCATCAGAAGGTGTGGAGGCCATTTAAAACTTGAGCAAGAAGGTACAGATGAAATCATTTCCCCAGCTCAAAAGTGGGGCCCAGCATGGGGAAATAATCTGAACAAGAGTGGTAGAAAAAACCTCAGAGGACCAAAATGCCATCATTCCCACATAGTAGTATATGAAATGCCTGGAGGGGGACAGGACTTTAAGAACAGGGAGGTGAACACTGGCTGGGTACCCTAACTGTGAGGTTTGGCCTTTCTGGTTGAAGGGTAGGAGATACAGGTTAACAGTGCTAGAAATATTTCAGTCTTGTCTCTGCATACATATAATTATTTATCTTACATCTTAGGGACGACTGTTCTTGGGCGCCACCCACGCCTTGTAGCTGTGGCATGTGTGAACAGGTGGGCAGGAAAGCCATCTGGGGGCTTTCTTAGCAGAAATGTGTTCATATGTGGGATACAGAAACCCTATTTGGAGGGAATGTACACTTACCTAAGAGTATCTGGTTAACCCTGAGCTTAAATCAAATTAGGAGTTAGGTAGAGGCAAGCATGGTGGGTAAAGTGGCCCAGAGCCTTGTGTGAAGAGGAGACCAGGATGGAGGAGGCCATCGTTGAGAGTGTGGTCTGGATATTGGCCAAGGTTTCACTGAGGCCCATCCACCCAGTCCAGGTATTAACAGAGTTTCTAGCTCCCTGTTACAGCTTCAACTTGGGGGGAACTCCGAGCCCAAGGAGCTCCTGCCCAGGAAAAGCAGGACCTGCCAGTGGAGCTCAGTGGCCACTGTTGGTAAATCTTATGCAAAGGTACCTAGGGACCTGGACCTAGCCTAAGCAAACTAGAAAACCTAGTTGGTTCACAAAGAAATGTCAGGGAGACACCAGCATTAAAAAAGAGAGATGTGTTTATTCCATGATCAGTACAGACCAAATGCATATTCACCATATGAAAGTCAAGCCAGTCAGTGACTCCAGAGTTTGGCCAACACCGAGGCACCAGCACTGTGGTGTAGAGTGGGCTCTCATGGCACGTGTAACCTCACCAGGGGCTCCAATTAAAAAAAAAAAGAAAAGAAAAAGGGAAGGAAGGTGCAGCCCACTGGTCTAAACCAGGTGCTGGATGGGGAGCTTCTGCCTTAGTCTGCAGCCCCCCAGTGCCTGGGGCCCACCTCATCCCCAGGCTCTCCCTTTCTTGGTAAAAACAAACAGATTTGACATTAAAAAACACAGAAGCCAACAAATACGAGGAGAGAGGAAAAAAATTGCAGCTTTCTGGTTTTATAATTAAAAATAAGACTAATAAAGTTTGAAACAGAATACAAGCAGGATTTTTTTGTGTTTTGTGTGGGGTTTTTTTGTGGATTTTTTTTTTTTTAACACCAGTTTGGTGGAGTCACCAACAAACTTCAAACAAAGATATGCCAACTATGTTCACTATACAGTACAGCCACGGTCACACACTACCCACAGCGCGGTGGGAGCCGCCACTCAATGAGGAGACAATCACACCATTTCGGAGATAAGCAGTGCCACTGTGTCTGAAGGAGAAGAGAGTTAAAAATAAAATAGAATTCAACAAAAAATATATATATATAGGAAAAAACAAAACAAAACAAAATTAGAAACACAGGTGGGAAGGAACTGACTTTGGTTGGTGGCCTTACTCCCCAGGTGAGGCCTGTCCATACACATGAACAGTTACCTCTATCCGAATTGCCATAGACATACACACACTTCCATGGCACTATTCCCTTTTGCACAAGCGAACACTTATAGAGAGCGGCTCTCAATTAAAGGCTTGTGGGGGGAGGGGAGAGGGTCTGTTCAAGGCAAAGTCAGTGCCAGCAAGGGGGTGGGCCAGTGCCTTGCCATTCCAGTCCACACAGGCTTGCCCTGGTCTCCTGGGAGTGGGCAGCGATGGCTGGGGTGTGAAGGACTCCCAATGGGTAGGACGTCACAAACGTCATGTTCTCAGGGACAGAAAACCAGTCAGTCACGGTGGCGGCAGCAACAATGTCCTGTGTATACTGTGTAGACATTTGGCGCAGAGAAGGGCCTCTGCCCCGCACGCGGGGACGCAGGCCTTGGGTCCAGCCGGCACTTGACTCACATTGAGGCGTGCTCTGAACTGACATCCTCTGAGGGGGTGGCATGTGGTAGGACGTCTGTCTGACTGGCTGTAAGGCAGATGGGCTCTGTGATCCTCAGCTGCCCGTCAGGCCTGCCCCGGGCATAGCATGCAGGAGAGCCAGGCCCAGAGACACCCCTGGTCACTGCTACTGCCTCCACTGCCGCCCCTAACACTATGGAGAGTCAGTATTTTTGCCAGAAAAAGGCAGAAGTCACCTAGGTGCTCTCAAAAAAGATTTTCTTCAAATATTGACAAAAGATCACTCTGGAAATTCATGTCAATCGTAGCTGCCATCTGGAGGGGAAGAAGGAAGTAGAAGTGAGTTTGGAGTGCACTGTTCCACCTGTTTCCCAGGTGCTGCCCCCTCATACCCACCCGGACCCTTTTGTTCAAAGCCAGGTGCGAGTGAACCCATCAGACCAGCTTGGTGTAGTGCAATAGCCTGGGCTACTGCCCATCCTTCCCTAGGTCCTAGGACCTTTATCCCAGGATCTTCAAGGTGGACTCCTGCCCAAAAGTTCCCACCAGGTACCCCTACTCACTGCCTCCCTGCGCCTCCGCTCCTGCTCTCGTTTTCGGGCCAATTCCCTCTGCTGGTCCAGCATAGACTGGGGCTGAGAGCTCTGGGCTTGGGGGGCGGTGGCAGCGGCCACAGCAGCTGCCTGCTGCTGCTGCTGCTGTTGCTGTTGCTGCTGCTGCTGCTCCTGCCTCTGCTGCTGCTGCTGCTGCTCCTGGCGCCGTCGTGCCTCCTCATGGGCTCGACGTGCCTGTTCCAGCGCATCCTCATCCTCTCGGCTCCTGGGCAGAGCGGGGCCCCAGGTCAGCCTGGAGTCCAGTATGGCCCTGGGAGCCCCAGTGCCCTGCATGGACCCCAGCCCACCTCATACGCTCCTGCCTCAGCCGCTCCTTCTCCTTCTCTGCATGCTCAGCCTGGGCCTTCAGGGCCTTTTCCCGCTCTTCCTTCTCCCGAGCGGCACGACGGAAATGCTCGAAGCTATCACTTGAGGACTTGGCTGTGGAGGATGGGGTGGTCGGATGCTTCTGTACCAGACTGGCCCAGGAGCCCATGTTCTTGATTTTCAGGTCCTATAGAGGCAGAGATCAGGTGCCAGGTAAGGACCTGCTACACAGGATATGGCAGGGAGCTTATGCCCACCAAAACCATCTCAATGAGATGAATGCCTCAGAGTCCTTGGTCACCTACTGTCCTTACCTTTTTGGGTGCCACTGGCGTTTTTGGCTCCTGTTTCTGTTTGTCTTTGTCAGGGGCCCCCGATGGGGGTGCATTCTGCTCGGGGGGCCGGATCACAGGCCTCCCTACATCTACAGGTTTCATCTCAGGCCCTAGAATTGACAAATGATATGTGGGTCTGGGCCACCTGAAAGGCGTGGCTCATGGTCATCACCAGCATGGGCCTGGGGCCCAAGTCCCAGATGCAGGTAGGGAGGACACTCACGCTGGGGCAGGTGGACTGGGGCCTTGATGCTCTCTGGGTGCTTAGGGGGCTCTGGTCGCAGTGAGGTGCTGAAAGGCTCGCTGCGGATGATTGGTGAGTGGATCTTCTCCTCCTTTACTACCACCAGGGGCTGGGGCTGGACAACTGAGGGTGGACGCAGCTCCTGGGACAGCATAGGTACGGCAGCCGGTGAGGCAGGTGGGCATCCCTGGCCTCGGCCCATGACTGGACCTGGGGGCTGTGGCTCAGCCCTGCCCTTTACCTGCTTCTTAGGCTGGACATTTTGCTGGGGTGGAGATTGATGAGTCAGGCTCTGGAACTGTGGCATCTGAGGGGAATGTATCATAAGCGGAGAGGGGGCTTCACGAAGGTGACCTAGGAAACAAGATAAGAACTGGTATATAGGCCACTAGCCCTGAGCCACTTGGGCCTTGAGAATACAGTAATCAAAGAAAGGTCAGGCTATTCATAGACTACCTTGTAGCCCAAACAAGCTTGGAGACTCACAGTATCTAGTATACCTGCCAAGGACATGACTGCCCTACCCTGAAGGACTGAGGACCCTCTAGCCCCAAAATGTGGACCCTATTTAGTCATGCCCCTAAGCTGGATGCCAAAAAGCTTTTCTGTAGTCCTGAGGTGCTAAGTCCCAAAGTTTGATTCTTCTGCACCTCAGTATTACCCAGGAAGCTTTGTTAAACACACATTTCCAGCACATTAGATCTCATGTAAGGTCTGCATTCCAGAGCATTTTAAATCCCACCCCCACCCCACCCCCCACCGCAGAAGGCTCTACAAAGTTAACCTGGGTTATACAAGGGAGATCAATAAATTCTGAAGACTGAACCTGATAATCTATCTACTTTGCCGCCACCCCCACCCCTGTAGTCTGGGATGGCCACAGTTAATGAAGCCCAGGCCCTGGGGTGAAGGTGGTCTGCCCCAATGCTGTTTCCTAGCTGAGTCTGTTCATCCTACAGAACGGAGGAGAACTTGGGAATGACCTCTACCTGAGTAAGGCAAGTACAACAGGGTCCAGGGCTCAAGGTCAGTCTACTACCTGCATCTATCTAAGCAACAGGTATAAGGAGTGCCAGGGAGCTCTATGCTAGCAAAGGAAATACAGAACGTTTAGTTCTGACACTCAGCTGTACCAATGCAGAAACTGAGCTCTGAGTACAGTTAGCCAGAGCCTCTGGTCTAGGGAACTGGAGAAGTTGAATCACATCCATTCCCACATAGCTTGCTGTCTACTTAAATACCAGGTAGAATGGGATCTTGCCACCTGTTATAGCTCAGCTAGCTAGAGCCCAGACTAGTCCTCCAGGTTCTACCTCTAAGCCATTACATACTAGCACAGGAACCCTTAGGTCATTTGATAACATCCCATCCCCTCCCCTCTAGTCTAAGGTGTCTATTTTGGCAGACCTAAAACAGACCATAAAATTGCGTATGTGGCAGACTCTTGGCTCCATTGTTGGGCCAGTACCAAAATCCAATAGGGTGAGTTTCTGACACCTTTTGACTTGTCTTCCATTCCAGCTTGTCGGAACTCCTTAAAAGCTAGCACCCTGGCTCCACTTGTCTGCAGTTCCCAGGTACGTGTCTGTGACTGCCTGTCATCTGTGGCAGTGTCACCAAGAACACCTGGTAAGGCTGGCATGGATAACAAAAGACTCTGTGGCCTATGGTTTTTCTGGTGGCTTTGGAGAGCTGGCTTAGCAGTTCAGGGATGGTGCTGGGAAATTGGCTGAGTGTCCACCTGAGTGTCTCTTAACAATCTGGTTTTTTTTTTGGTTGTTGATTTTGTTTGTTTTTTTTTTTTTGTTTTCAAGACAGGGTTTCTCTGTGTAGCTTTGGCACCTTTCCTGGAACTCACTCTGTAGCCCAGACTAGCCTCGAACTCAGAGATCCCTCTGCCTCTGCCTCCTGAATGCTGGGATCAAAGGTGTGTGCCACCACCGCCTGGCAAGACAACTTAGTTTTTAGCCCAGAGCTGTCAGCTAGGTTCCAACCCATATGGTTCCATATGTCCTTAGGTTACAGAGCTTGGGTTCAGGCTCTGAGGACTCGAAGAGAAAGTAGAGGTCTTTGGCTGCTGGCCTCGGCTGCCCAGAGCTGACTCTGCTGCCACCTGTTTACCACCTTCCGTGCACAGGCTGGTAACAGCACAGCTGCATGGGTGACCATGTCCAACGCCAGTTTTTCCCAGAGAACCAACAGCTGCTCTCGGCTCAGGGCATGCAACAATTCACTTGTCACCTGGCAGCCTGTGTTGAATCTCGGAGCACTCACAGTCCTACTTTGCTACTCAATTTTAGCAGTTCCACCCTAAGGCCGACTGCATTGTGAATATACAGTGCTAAGCCCAGGCATCCCACTCTAGCCCTCAAATGTTACTGTAAAGATGCTACTGTAAGCTTTGACTGGAACATTTTCTAGCCAGAGATTGCCAGAGCATTTTGGTTACCAACATTTGTCAAGTATGGAAGAATGGGAAGCCTAGCAGTGGTAACACATGCCTTTAATCCCAGCACTCAGGAGGCAGAACAGGTGGATCTCTGTGAGTTCAAGGCCAGCCTGGTCTACAGAGCAAGTTCCAAGGCAGACAGGGCTCCAGAGAAACCCTGTCTCAAAAATGCAAACAAACAAACAAACAAACAACAACAAAGGTGAAAGAGTGTGCCCTAAACAACACTGTTGGGAACGGGAAGTCTGCACTAGGCTGCAGACAGGCAGGGTTTCTGAGTGGATTCTGCTTCTGAGTCCCAGTCATATTCACGAACACGGTCCATGCAATGCCACCTGGGTCTTGAGGGCTTAGTACAGCGCCTGAGTCTCAACAGTCTCTGATTCCCAACTTGTTCTCCTGCTTACCACAGTCAACGCCAAGAAACCTACCCTAACCTTGAATGGGTAGACACCTAGCAGGATGAAGGTCGAGGGAGGTCTTTGTCTGGACTATCTCTGCTTGTGAGCATGACAGTCTGATAAACACAAAGCAGGGGCAGCGATACTGTGTGATACTCCCAATTACACAATGCCGACAGGTTTGCCTCTGAACTTACTGAGCCTGACACATAACTAATACTGCATTGTCAGACAGAGCCAGTCACCAGGCCCAGCTCCAGACTCCCTTGAGTACAAGAACTGGAGCCACTTACCAGCTGAGTAGGGGTCCGACTTGTGGTGTCGGGGGGAAGGGTGATGCTGGATGACTTGCTGGGGCTTGGCAGGCTGTGGTGGGGGTGGCTGCTGGCCTGGGGGTGGGTGAGTAGGCTGCTGGCCTGGAGGTGGTGGGGGCTGCTGAATATGAGAAAAGGGCATGGATGGCAAGTGAACTGGCCGTGGTGGGGGCTGGTGTTGTTGCTGGGGTGGTGGTTGGGGCTGAGGAGGTGGGGGTGGTGGAGGTTGCTGCTGGAGCTGCTGCTGCTGAACAGAAGGGTGGGGTGGAGGTGGCAAAGGGGGTGGGGGTTGAGACTGCACCTTCACGGAAGGGAGTAGTGGTGTGGGGGGCTGCACCTTCTGCAGCTGCTGTAGATATAACTGCATCTGCATGGAGGTGAGGGGTGGGGCGGGTGGCTCTTCATCCTCCAGCAGCACTTGTGGGGGCTGAGCCATGGGTGGTTGTGGGAGTAGCGGGGGCTGGGCCAGGGCAGGGGACACAGCTGGGGGTCGGGAAGGTTTTGGAGGCAGAGCAGCAGCTCGGTTGCTAGGCCGAGATGGTTGCTGGGGCAGCGCATTGTGCAAAGCTGGAATGACAAAAAATATGGAAGTGAGACCTTCGTTACCTACCTAAGATTCTGGACTGTTTTTTCTGCTCTGTCCTAACCTTGTTTACACTACAGTGATCTCTTCCGGCTCCTCCTGCACTCTCCACAAGCTCCCACAAACAGCACAATAAAGACGGCATTCAGAAAAACCTACTGGCGTAAGTTCCTTATAGTCACCCTGCCCTATATTCTGTGTCCCTGACCCTTCCTCTAGTTTCCTGCACAGACCTTCAGGCCTCACTGTGGGTCTGTGACAACTACTCACAGACTTACCAGCCTGCCAAGATGTTGAGCAAATCTCTCCACCCCCATTTATGTTGTCCAAGTTCCATGGGATTAACTATGAATGTCTCCTCCATACCCTAAACCAAGAGCTGCAGACAAATCCAATCTTTTCTGACATAATGCCTGGCCCCAAAGAATTAAACTACAATCTTCTGCCATGCCAGTCATGTCCCAGACAAGCAACTAACTTAATTACTAAAGCTAATAGGGTGCCTAGAGTACCTGGTCATGATGTGGTAGAACCAAGGTGGCAAAAGGGAGAGATAGCCATGGCTCACCTGGAGGAGAAACCACAGCATGCTGGTTGAGATGGGGTGGAGTGCTGTGCTCAGGCGGCTGGGGCAGATGAGGTGGCAGCTCCGGCTGCGGCAGGTGCAAGATGGGCTGGGTGAAGTGGCCAATAGGGTCAAATACACTGCCTGGTAGCTGTGGTTCCAGGACGGGTACCTGGGCAGTGATGAAGGGTGGGGGCGAGGACTTGATCGCTGGGGCAGTCTGCTGTGGCATGGAGGGCGGCGGTGGGGGGGGGTGGGGGCTGCTGCTGCTGCTGCTGCTGCTGCTGCTGCGGAGGCGGGGGTGGAGGAGGCTGCTGGGGAGGCGGGGGTGGCTGCTGGGGCACAGGAGCTGGGGCTGTCTGCATCTGTGGATGGTGATGGTGATGATGCTGCAGGCACACACAAAGACACACAGGCTAATGTCAGACTGGAGAAACCAGCCAGGGGCAGATCCACAGCACCCTCTCAGCGGAGGGGCTGGCTACCACCTAAGAAGGAGACAACCCTGAAGTACATACCTTTTTTTGGTCCCTCCCAGGGTGTCCCTTCTTTTTTGACTTGGGAGCCATCTCTGCAGAGAAAAGACAAGGTAGTGAGACTCTGGGGATGTGATCATGGATTGGCCTTGGATGCAGAAGAGGACAAGAACAGGGCATTCAGGACAAGGGTTGAATTACACTGAAAAAGCAACTGAATTGGGCCATCACAGGGAAGAAAAAGACATGTAGAATGTCACCTATCCATCTGCCTGTAGCTTTCCCAAGGAACTGTGCCTGAAAAATGCCTCAGTAAGTTTCAGACCACAGGCACCAGTACTAGTCAAGGCCCTGGCTATGTCAGAATCTGAGCTATGGAGACCTTACCTTATACTTCCCTATTTCATGAGTCATACCTTGGGCAAGTGTCAGCACACTTTGGATTATAACCTGCTACGTTCTGGATAACTCAGGCCGTTTGCAATGACCCCATGTATTGGACAGTTGAGAACAATACTCCAAAAAGTGAGGACAACCATTCAAGGCCACACAGCTGAAACAATTTAGAGACTCTTGTTGAATGGTTTACTGAGGTCCCTACCTCAGAGTAGGTCAGGCTGGGACTGAGAAAGATCAGTGATATTGGCATGGGGCATGACCTCACCAGAGCCACAGGGTGCACAAGGAAAGTGCTGTATAGTGAGAAAGGGTCACCTTTTGGGAATAAGGAAGCAGGATAGCCTCCCCAGAATGACCAAGAATAAACAGAATAGGTGCTCACTGCCAAAAAGATGGCTTTGACCTCCTTTCTCTTCCTTGGGTGTGAGGAATTATCAGTGATGTCTCTTCTCTGGAACAGTCAATGTGCTACATAATGAAAGCAGCATGTGCCTTGGCTCCTCAAGAAGCTGAAGCCTGGTGCTTCAGGTGCGTAAATGTGCCCATCTCTGAGGCAGATTAAAAACCTAGGTGCAAACCTTAGACTTTATAATAAGGAACTTTTACCAGCTGAATACTCCAGGAGAGGGACAACATCTTGGCCAGTGCTCCTGGGCTGACAAACAATACAATTGTCAATTACCAGGTTGGAGGCTGGGTCCATGGTACAGAGACTTTCAGATTCCTGTCACTGAGAGTCATTTGTGTCTTTGCTATGGCTTCCCCCAAGCACCTTGTCAGAACACCAGTTCTTGCTGCTAGTGTCAAGGCCACCTCTCTCTCTGCTCATAGCTGTGGCAAGCTACTATGCAATGCATGGCCCCTGTGGTGCAGTATGCTACCAGCAGGAGTAAGACGGGACCTTGTGCCCTGCAAGAGTTTGCCACTCCATGCAGGACTGCCAAGACACAGACCCCAGCAGGCACAAACAAGTCCTCACACAAATGGCAAACGGCAGCAAGTGAGGACACCTAACACATGGAGACCCAAGACTGAGCCCCAAATTTGGATGCTAGGAAGCAGGGCTCCCACAACTCCTTGGGTCAGCAAAAGAATCTTGGTAAGAAACCCTTACAGAGAACACATTCAAAAGGGGTTTGTCGGGAAGATTTGTGGAATCAGGGCATTTGGCTGTTTTGCGTGTAGAAGCAGAACCAGCTGGACACCTCACACCAGAAGGATTTCTATGGCAGGGGACACACAAGGGCTAGACAGCCAACAATTCAGTAGTGGGAGAGAGAGAGGCTGGGACGGCCAGTGGACAGGCTCCTCTGTTAGCACTTCCAGTGTAAGAAGGTGGAGTGGGCAGGGGGAGGAGAGACAGGGACTTGGGGAAGGCTGCTCAAAACAAATACTGATTATACTCTTGAGGGGATCTCAGCATATAGAAGATGGGAGATAAAGCTGAACCACTGTGTCAAGTATGACCCGGGAAAGCCTTGGGGGTGCTACCCAGATGCAGAACTGAATGTGAGATGTCTAGGAAGGAGAGGGGATGCCTGTTGGCTAGTAACATTGAACAAACATTGTTTTCCCACTTATATAAGTAAGGGACAATGGCTCCAACCCCTCACCACCTGCCTCAAGTTATGAGCAGAGGTCCACAAGACCAGGCTTAGGTTCTAGGAAGTATCTCAGCTGCACTGGAAAGGTCACAGGAGTGTTCTGGAGCTCATCTTCAGAGTGGAAGTGGAAGCACAAGGCAGCCCCTGGGCCTAGGCGAGACTAGTGGAAATGACATGTGTTTGTGAGGCAGCCCTGTGCAGCTCCTGTGGCCCAAGCCTCGTGTTGGGTTACCAGTAAGAAGACAAGACAGTAAATGCACAGCTTAATGACACACCAGTCCCAGACACCCCCACACAAAACTCTCTAGAAAGGGTTACATGGAGATGGCCTCAAATACTGTGTGATCTTTATTCCATAACAATCTTAAACTCCAACACAAATTTCATCTTTACATAGGATGGTATAGTACAAAGTAAAATGTTTTTGTAAAATCTGATTAAAACACTGATTTCTTCCAACCCAGCCCAGCCCCACTTGAATAAGGGAGACAGAGGTTTAAGGGCAGGGCAGGGCAATGTGGGGCAGAGAAGAGCCTTCACTGTCCTGGATGGCTCCCCAACAGGACCCCACAGCCAGCTGGTATGCTAAGGCCCTCCAATGGTACCTCCCACTGCCCAGGAATAGAAAACTACCAAAAAGGAAGAAGAGGTGAGACCCTGTCCTTTCTGGCTGTGTTCTCAGGGCACCAAGTACAATTGATAGTGTAAGTCTAAAGATCTTTCAAGTTCAACAGAGTTCCTGACACACAGAAGGCCCACACAGCCAGGGCTTCTGACAGTAAAGTACTCTACAGGACACGCTGCCCTGTGTGTATGCACATATGTAGAGAGGGTGTGGGGAAGGGCAGGGGCAGCACGAGGCCAAGACATTGTGGGAATGTAGGCCGCCATTTGGTCCAAGACAGCAAAATCTTCCCAGAAAGATAATGCCAACAGCTTCCCAACCGTCCTGTGGGAATCTCTGGGCAAGAAGCCTCCCCCCCCCCCCCCCACCCCAGTCAAGCCAAGTTCATTGGGAACACGTCAGGCACGGGCCAAAGGGCAGCTCAAAATAGTCTGTTTGGCAAAAGGAGCTAACTTGAAGCTAGACACAGAGGACTTGAAATGGCCTAGGAACTCAGCAGCATCACTGAGGGGCCACTGGATGTTCTAGGAAGTCTGAGGCCCAAAGGCCATTATCAGGTATAGGGCAGCAAGCAACCCAAGGATTCTGGAATCTGGGAAGGGGCAGCGCACCACCTCAGCCTGCTTTAAGCCCAAGAAGAAGGCAGGCTCCAATGTTGTCAGGAGACAGGCAGTCCTCTCAGAAGTCATCAAAGCACATTTTAAAAGAGAAAAGGACAGAGAGAGTCCACTAAAATGCAAATGCAATTCCTTTGGGGTCTTTTAATGTTAGGCAGTTTTCTGGTGAGGTGCCAGATTTATGAGAAAAAAATGGTCAGGGCCAACACTTGTTTTTAGGGAGAAAAACAAAACAAATAAACAAACCCCAAACCAGCCTCCTTTGGTTTGTCTCTGGAAAGGTTTGAATGGTGTGGCCCACTCTTGCCTGCTCTAACCCCAATAATGTCATTATAGGAAGCTGAAGATGAAGATGGTCGTGATGGCAATGGAACTTGGAGAGGCACTGTAGGCAGCTCACAAGTAGCCATGATATCCTTCTTGCCCACTTCCCAGATCCTGACTGGGCTTGGGAGTGGGGCCTGATGGGTCTTGCATGCCCTTACCGGCAGCCTTAAGGTGTTTTTCTTAGGTGACTTGGGGAGAAAAGACCAAAGACACCAGACCACTTGAATTTTTAGTACTCTATGGGAACAACAGAGACTTAAAGAAAATTCAGGAGGCTATGGATAAGCTAAAGCTGGTCAGTCTCCACCTGATCAAGCCAACCAGGGTGGCCCTATATAGCCTTTAGGAGACCAGGTCAAAATATTCATCCTCAGGGTGAATTAGATCTTTCCTGGGCTAAATAAAGTCACTGCAAGGTCTAGAGTCTCAGAAAAAAGAGGGAGGGACGAAGAGAGGAAACACACTGTGACCAGGCTTCGCACATAGAGCAGCACCACATGTATGCATAGAAGGGGATTATTATCATCCTCAAGGAGATGCCACCCACCCAGAGGACCCCAGATGACCAGGGAGGCTGGGCAGAACAGCCAGGCAGTCTTTGTACAGAGAGGCCCAGGCAGCAGGCCAGGCAGGCAGCCTTCCTGAAGGTGAGACTAGGTGTGTGCTGCTGAACATGACTAATCCACCCCGGGGGCGGGTGGGACAGGCCCAGGGCTCTGAGCAATTCCATAACTTGATGGAGTCCTGTCCCTTTCACAGAAGAAAATGGACTTAAGCTATAGCTTGCTGGGAAGGAATCTGGAACTGAAGACCGTTTTATTAAGAGTCCGTGTCCAATGATTAGGCAGGACCTACGTAGAGGGAGAAAGAAACCAGTGTGAGAGAATGGTGTGGAATGTACCGTTCAAGTTACAAGAACAGAAGAACTGCAGACTGAGCCAGCTTCTGTGCCCTAGTGACGGAAAGGGCACAAGAGAACCTTGCTGGAAACCAAGAGCCCCATCCCTGAGTGGCCTGCTTCAGCAGGGCTGGATAAATCTACACATAGAAAGGCCACAGTATGTGTACAAGTCTCTAAAATTGCTCGAAGCCTGTCTGCACTTCTAAACAGAACAACTGTTTCTGTTAATGAGTTCCATAGGTGCCATGCCTAGGTATACTGGCATTTTTTTTTTACTCTAAAGTCCCATAAGAATGTAAGAGGTACCCCCGAGTTGTCTCTCATTAGTCAGGTGTATCAAAGTCACCAGGCGTCAGCTAACCAACCCTTCCTCAGTGTGCTCAGGGAAGAAAAAGGTCCCAAGAGAGGAGGCAGTACAGCATTATAACAGTTCCCACTGAGGAAGGCAAAGAGCGGAGTCATCTCTGTTATCTCCACATTCCCAAAACAAAAGCAGAAACTATAAAAAGAGGAACTGGTGACATAACAATTGTTGAGCACAGGGAGAGGCCAAAGAGAAAAGGCTTTGTCCTTTCCATCCTTTTTCAGGACATCCAATATGGCTTCTGGTCCAGAGAGGGGCCTGGACTGGTTCCCACGTGTAGCAGAGTGGCGCCTCTGCTGGAATTATGGATGTAACAATCCCCAGTCCCAGAACATGCCTGGGAAAAACCCGCCCACTCAGCCTCTTACTGTAGGCCACATTCCATAAGGCTGGCCCTCACCCCCAGGGAAGCCCCAATCCCTCCAAACTATAACTCCTGGGCTTCTGGATGTGCCATCTGGCTCTGCACATTTCCCACTCTTGAGGGGCCTTACCCCTTTCTGAAGCAATTGCCACATTCTGGCAGCAGGACCACCATATATCCCTGAGACAGGGCTGGAAGGAGTCCCTCAAAGATCCTGGGGCCAGGGAGCTGAGGCTGGCTTCCTGATCAGAGCCTCAAGAGTGTCTCATGGCCTCTGTCTGCATTTCCCAGCTCCAGCCTTTCCAAAACACCATGCATTCCTCTTTACCCTGGAGCTATTAAGGAACACCCACATGTTCCAATCCTGGGAAAAGGAAATAAGACTAAAATAGCTGGCCTGTGCTCTTCCATGAACAGGCCAGAGTCTCAGCCTTTTTACTGTACCTATCCAAACCCATTCCAGCCCAGGCAACTAAGGTGCATGCTAGGGATGGCTCCAGAGAGGGTATACATAAGGTATATAGCCACCCATGCCCACAAAGACCTATGGAAGATATGTGAGAAAAACCAGATATTAGCATATGATGAGAGAACGGAAAGAGTCTTAGGACATCCCTTACCCCATGACAGCTGATCTGATCCTATGCTGGTGACCTCATGGCCACAGCTGGGAGAGTAATGGGAAAGGGAGTGCCACAGTGTCTTGTTCCGGCTTGCCCAGCCCAGGTCTGATGACTTCCTAGAAGTTGGAGGGAGGTAGTATCTGGACCTTATTCTGCTTGTTCTAACACTAACCCCTGAGCAGTTCCAGACTCAAGCTAGAATCAAAGCTCAATGAGAAAAAAAAAAAAAAAAAAAAAAACAACAACAACAACAACAACAAAAAACCCCTATAACAAATAGCTGGGTTCAAGGAGTGTCAAGATGGCCACTGGTGATGCTGCAGAAAATAAGGGCATACTTATTTTCTGAATATATACTGAATCCATCCAGCAAAGCATCCCACCCACTCATCTGCAATGTGGGCTCACCCTGTGCACCCTCCCAGCCTCTACTGAATGCTTCTCTTCAGTTCCTTTAGGTGATTCATATTGCTGGGCCGTGCCAGTAGAACTGAGTCTCAGTGCTAAGTGACAAAAATCGGTCCTTTGAGAAATTTTAGCTTCATTTCAAATAGAAACATAAGAATCAAGGAAGACATAAACTCGGCCCAAAAGACCAAAGGAAAACACCTTCAGTGTCTACCCCACCTCTGCCCCACTCTCCTGCCAAGGTAGAAAGAATTACCAGTAACTTGTTATAGAGGTTGGGGCTGCTGCGCTTCCTGGACCCATGAGACCAACTGCTAGAGGATCTGCCCATCCGCACACTCCACATTCCACAAAGTGCAGTGTCTGTGTGGCATGAGGAGACAAAATCTATGCTTCACTGGTGTGACATTTACTGGTGTATACACTTGTTCATTCATGTCTAGTGTGTCCTTCTGTGTGTTTTTGTGTCCTATCTGGGGATTGATCTGCAAGAAAAACTCAGCAGAATCTTTCTAAGCAGTGGCATCAACAACCTCACAACATAGTACTCTGTACACAGCAGGAAATAAAAACCTACTGCTCCATTGGCAATACCAGTGGCCTGAATGAAGACAAAAGGGAGCCAGCAAAACAAAATTGGGAAGGGCATCATCTGGAAAGAGGGAGAGGCTTAGCCCAGGCAGCCAAGCAAACAGTCAGGGCTAGAGAGACAAAGTCTAGAAGTCTGCTGATGAGCAGTTCCACTTTAAATCTCACCCTCCTTCCCGCCAGGACAGCTGTTCCCAGGACTCTCAGATTACTTGTTGCACAAGCTTTTTACTCGAGGGAGGAGGGGGGTTAGAAAAAAAATTTCTTCGCTCTGTAACAGTAGCAGAAAAGCTCCTGGAAATGTCATCATGGCAGTCATCAGGAAAGACAGGAGCACGGCACTCATGTGGGACCACAGGAGAACTACCACCTGAACAACAAGAGGGCTATGGGGGCAGTGTGTGTGTGTGTGTGTGGGGGGGTGTCAAGAGTTCCCTAAGATCCCAAAGGTAAGCCAAGTTGTTTAGCATCATGTCAGGGTCAGTCTCTGGCATTGTCTTTTGATCATTTTGATTCTTAGAAAAGAAGGCTGCAAAATCTTAGGAGGAATAATCTAGAAAACACAGGAGGCACAAAAAACCCAGAGGAAAGGCAAATCTGAAGCTTGGCTGGCAATGAAAGTGAAAAGTCAGTGGCCACCAAGAATGCTAATAGAGCCCCAAGAATACATCCATTTACCCCATTCACCCTGCTGAAGGCGGTGGCCCCAGTTCAAAGGGAAAGTGGCTCACAGCCAGACCTTTCCAGCAGGCTAGGATGCAGCTCCCCCTGCTGGTTCGTGGGAAAGCAAGACAAATGTTTAGGTTAGAATGCAAGGGGAAAGAATAAATGATAGGAGAGGCTGAGGTCAGCCACTTTGCCCATGGCAACTTCTGCAGTCTGTATGGAACAAATGCAGAACACAAAATTTAACAGGTTACATTTCCTTTGTAATTATACTGCTCATAAAAAACCAAGGCAGTACAGAGAACTGTCCTGGAAAGGCCCCAGTCTAGTCCATGGCCCACAAAAATGCCTCTTCCTCATAACTCCCAGTTTCTTTGGGCAGAGGTAGACCTGTGTATACAACTTGAAGCAACAAAGTTCATCCTAGCTGCTGTAAGGGAGCCTTGACCATCCTTGACACAATCAGGTTATTATTCCATAAGTGAGAGATCCATAGACTATTGACAGGAGCCTTTTTGTCCACAGACCCATTTCCCACTATAGACCTCACATGCTGCAGCCCATTTAGAAGAGCACATTTAAGACCCTAGGGCTGGCTCCAAGGTGGACTGTAACTTATCTGCTCAGCTGATTGAACCCGACCTGCCTAGTAGTAACCCCACTCACATGAGCCATGTTTCAAGCAACCCAGGTACACCATGCCTTCCTTCCCTATTTTTCCCTTGAGGCCTATGTAAGCATCTGCTCCTCTGGGAACAATGAAAAAAGTGCACCTCTGGGAAAACAACCAGTTCCCATCATTACCACCTGCTCTCACTTCCAGCTCTGCAGCTGCTGCTGAATAAGAACACAGGAACTGAACACTATTATATAGGCCCACAGAGCACAAGAAGACGACCAGGAGAGGAGCAGGATATACCTGTCCTAGGGTGCACATAGAGCAGAGCTGGGAACAGCCAACATAAAACAGCAGTGAGCTCACTGTGGAGAAGAAAATGGCAATTCCCAGAGTTGAGTCCAGGGCTCAAAGTTGACAGATCATGCAGGCTGCCAGATGCAGGTGGCTTGGCTCTACTCTGCTATAATGTGGCCAAAATTGCTTCAATGCCAACTGTGATGCCAGAATATTGGAAGGGGGGGGCCAACATTCCACATCAAGGTTGATTGGGACCCCAACACCTACAGTCCTCAAGGTCTGCCCTCTACCCTCATGGAAAGAATAGAGTGCTATTACACAAGGTGTCTTGCCACCCTGCAGGGAGAAAGTTAATGGGTAGACAGTAGGGCCCAGGCAGTTCTCAGTGACCACCAACTCTGGGTTCTTGAATAGCCTGGACAAAGGACTGAGCTACTACCAGAGACGAGTAGGGTAGTTTGACAAGATGCTTAGATAGGAGTCAACTAACCTGTTTCGGAGTCTTCACTGTCAGAGGAGCTGGATTCGCTGGTGCTCTCTGACTCAGAGGATGAAAAGCCCTTCATCTTGGAAGAACCAGCAATCACATCAACTTTTTCAGCTGTAACCCAAATAACAGACCTGTATCAGAAAGGTCACCAACCAACCTAGGCAGCTGCTGCTAGCCACGGTACACTCCCGACGGCCCAGAGGAAGGACCAGTGGGAAGCATGTACCCATAGGCTTATAGACTGCTCCTGTCAGCTACTACCAATCCAGACCCTGAGTAGTCACACTGTTCTCACTGGTAGCCTACTACACAACTAGCCTGAAACTTGTCATGTGCTGCAATTTCAATTCCTCATCAATCTCTTATAATAACCTCTGAATGGTTTCTCATGGATTCAGGAGACCAGGCAGAGCAGTAATTTCTTCATATGATATACTGGTTAGCCTTGGGTAAAGAGGTATTCTTCGTACAGGGTATTATGTCCAGAGGACAGCAAAACATGCAAAGAGCTCAAGGGTTCTGCCATCCTTCCTATTTAGATTTAATAGTGAAACCCAAATAATGTTACTGAACAGCAGACCCAGAGCAAAGGTCTAAGGACTGAGAAGTTAGTATGGCTAAGAAAGCAGTGTATAAAAAATACTTTGATATATATCCTAAGCTAAAACCCTCTAGTACTAAAGGGGAAAGTTACAAGCCAATGTGAAGCATATATAAAATGGAAGAGATGTCTGGAAGGCTGGTGGCAGGGATGGGGTATCACCCCTACTAGCAAAAGTGGGGCTCAGTACTGAACTAATACCAGTACACATATCCCTGGGACATAGAGGCACCCCTTTCTTTCCTCCTGGTCTCACCTCAAGAGAGGTGGGAGATCACCTTTGGGAAAGACTGTATGGCTAGCAACCAGAGATGAAAACAGCTGCTGTTTAGAGTAAAGCTCAAAGGACAGGTTCAGGAAGGCTTCAGCAAACCACCAAAGACATCCAGAAAGGAAATGACAACCCAGAGTCCAGTGCAGTGTCATACTTGGGGTGTCTATAGCAAAGGTATGGAATTCATTACTGTGGGGGTGGGTGAGTGGGGTTTTAAGTGTAGAGTGCTAAGTTGGAGGAGGGCTAACCAAAGGTTTCCACGGGAAGGACCTCCAAAAGAATTATCAAGTGTACCTTGAGGTTTCCTTTTCTTCCGCAAACAAGAGGTGACATAGCGTTCCAACTCTCGCAGTGTGGACGGTTTCAGAGTCTCAAAGTCAATCTCAATCTCATCGGGGTTGGAGTTCTTGAGTGACGGCTCCCTCGACTGAATAATGTGTACTACACGGCCCAACTTCTCACCAGGAAGTTTGTTGATGTCTAGACTTAGCTGCCTCTTCTCCTCATAGGACATGGGCTTACACTTGTCTTCTTCCTCTGATTCGTATGTGGGAGGGGGCTTGTTCTTCATGGGTGCTGGTTCCTTCTTGCTATGAAGGGATGACGCAGACAGTTAAGAATAGGTCTCCTGAGGAAGCTGTGCAAACATCCCTCTGAATGTATGTGGTTGAAGTGTGCATGTGGGGGGTGGGGGTGGGGTGGGGGTGTGAATGGGTGGTGGCTGCCTGCCCACACCTAACTGGAAATAGGATTTAAAGCTGCTAGCAATCAGAAAGACCAGCCAGCAGCTGAAACTCTGCTGTGGCTGCGGGATGGCCACCTGCACCCTCTTTCCTCAAACACAGTGAGCTACCAAAGCTCATTCAGGGAAAAGAGCAGAGGGGAAGGAACAGGCTAAGTGCTTGTGACAGGACACCAACCTAGACCGGAGGCTGCAGCAAGAGAATGGGCTTCCCCCTACCATGGGTTTCTCGAATCACCACTACCAAAGATGGAAAAACTGGGAAGCACAGACCTCACATTGCTGTTGCTACTGTTATTTTTCTTTGTCTTTTTCGGAGGAAGTTCCTTGGCTTTGCTTTTCTTATTTTCCTCTACTTCCTCTTTCTTTTTGTGCTTTTCCTTCTTCTTTTCCTTCTTGTCCTTCTCCTTTTTCTTTGGTTTGTTCTGCTGGGGCTGTGAGAGGGCTGCAAGCTGCTCATGCACTGCTTTGAGCTATGGAACAAACAGGTAAAACAAAACAACACAACACAACACAAAGTCACAATCAGGCCAGTCTAAAATCCCCTTCCCACATTTGGGAGACAGAGACAGACAGAACTCTGTGAGTTCCATCCAGGCCAGCCAGAGCTGCACAGTGGGAACCTGTCACAAAAGCAAACTAACCACCCACAACTGGGACTAAGAAGTTCTTCTAACCACCTAAACCCTGGAGGACAGCTCTGTGTCATGTGAATAGTTAACACTCGAGTATCAGGCTGTGGGTATGGGAGAAGCAGAGGATGGGCTGGCTTCCAGCCATGGACCTGCCAAATTAATGAGATCTCTAAAGTGCCCACCCACTACTGGGTCTCCAAAGATTGCTACAATCTCCACAACAGGAGCTGCACATGATGACAGATACTAAATCACCTGGCTATATCTTAGTCCCAGGAAGGTTTCTAAAGGGCTTGATGACCAACAGGATTACTGTAGGATCCTGAAGTCTATGTGCCCAGAAAACGTCCAATGCCTCACTCCTACTCACAACAGCATATACTTCTACAGGATAAACATTTCATTAACTAAGTAAAGAGGAAATGCCACAAGGGGATCTTTGGAGAGGTAGACTCAAGAACATTTCTTGGAAACCTCTGAGAGACTACCCTGGCCTTTGGGCACAGAACCACAGGTTCCCTCACCTGCTCCTGGAGCTCAGCCAGACGCTGGGCTCGCTCTTCCTCGGAGTCGTCAGTGGAACTGTCACTGTCAGAGGAACTATCGCTGCTGCTGTCACTAGATGAGGGTGGGGCCACCACCTTTGTAGGGGGTGGCACTGCAGGGGAGGACACCATAACTACTGGCTCTTCAGGCTCGTCAGGCATCTTGGCAAAGCGCATTTCAAACACATCCTGGGGAGGAAAAGTCATGCCTATGAGAATGCTCAGCTTTTGGAGCTTCTTCAACAACCAAGTCCTGATCTGGCCAGGTATCTAGTTAGAGGACCCAGTGACCCAGGTGGAAGACTAGCTTTCTGAGGGTGCTCAGGAAGCAGCAGGCCACAACCAAGACCACCTAGAAAACATGCCTGTAAGTCTCCTACCAGGTCTGTAGCTCTCTGACAGGAGGGGTTTGCCGGCCTTCCAAAGAGAGAAAACAGTACTGGCAAAGGCTCTGAGTTGAGCATTTGTGGCAGAAACCCATGTGTCTGCCTCCCTACAATTCAGGGTGCTCTATCAACACTTAACTGAGCAGATGAAAGTCCTTGGTTCAGGTATCTCCAGCAATGCTGGATAGTGGTCGGGGATATGTTTATGACAGGTGTAGGGAAGGAGTATCTTGTGAGGTCTAATCAAGCAGAAAAGTCAGTGATTCTGGGCACAGCAACCACTTCAAGAGACCCTTAAGACCAACTGAGAGTCACATGGAGTAACAGAACTCATGGAACAGTAGCCCCTGCCTGTGCTCCTAGGGATCAAGTCACATGCAGCAAACCAACTAGCAGACACCCCCCGATGGTGGGGACTTCACAGTCAATCCAATGATGATTTGCAGAACATGTAAGGAATAAGGCTGGCTTTCCAGAAAGATTTTTTTATGCCTGCTCTAAGAAAGGAATAGAATGAAGGGTAGATCTAGGAGAAATTAAGGGGAGGAGGAGGACACATATATGATCAAAATACATTGTATGAAAAGTTCAAGGATTTAATAAAATAATAAAATAAAATGATCCGTGTAGTAATTCATACACTGAAGAAAGGGACATTCCTTTTTGTGTGTCCCTGTTTCCAAGAGATGAGTATGTAGTTGGAGTTTTCCTGTCTTGCAGCTGCTCTCAAATAATCAGAGGCTTATATTAGTTACAAATGCTCGGCCAATAGCTCAGACTTGTTACTAACTAGCTCTTACAACTTAACCCATTTCTATTCATCTATGTGCTGCCCCAAGGCTCATACCTCTATCCCATTTTGTGTGTCCGATTCATTCTCTATCTGGTTGGCAATTCTTCTGACTCTGCCCTTCCTCATCCCATCATTCTTAGTGTGCCTTCCTGTTTAACTTTATCCTCTTCAGCTATTGGCCAGCGAGCAGCGACATATATTCACGCAGTGTACAGAAAGATTATTCCATAGCATGCGTGTGCGTGCGCATCTGTGTATTTGCTGCTGAGGGATGTGGTGGCTAAGTACTAAAGCTGCTGTTTTAACTTAGGACACACTGGACTTTCTTCCAGAAGCCTGGCCTGGAGGCTCCATAAACAGGAATCTAGGAGAAGATGCCCTCTACAGCAAGTATCCATGTAACTATGGTACTGTTTCCCACATTTGCAATTCCATTCTGCAAAGCTTAGCTTCCTTCTCCCAGAGTAAGGTATTATCTGACATTCTGTTCTGTGTAAGTGTAGCTGATCAAGTACTAGACAGGCACTAATTTCTTAATTTATGTAGAAATCAGAGCAGAGCCCTGGACAAACATACACAACAGAAGGTGACTAGCACTTGATTAGAGAGAAGACCAGGAAATAAAGTGGCTTCACACCAAAGTGGAGGTCCCTATGGAAACAACTAAGACTCCCCTATCAACTAAGACTCCCATTAACACTTGCTACGTGGCAGAAGCTCAATCTACTACTCAGCGTCTTTGAGGTGGATAGGCTAGAGCCCCTCAAAAGCAGCCAGAGAGTTAGGCAGCAGCAGTGGCACAAGCCTTTTAATCCTAGCACTTGGGAGGCGGAGGCAGAGGCAGGCAGATCTCTGAGTTTGAGGCCAGTTTGGTCTACAGAGTGAGTTCCAGAACAGCCAGGGGTACATAAACACTTTGCCTTGAAAAGCCAACCCCCTCTCCCCCACAAAAGGCAGCCAGAGCCATGGCTGTCTGTTAAAACCAGGCCTAGGGGCAAGCAGAACAGAGCAATATAATGAGAAGCGCTTGGACTTTGTAAGGGAAATGACCAATTCTCTTTCCCAGAACACAGGGAAGGCACAAGGGGAAGCTGTTTCAGGCCCTCTATCTATGTCCACCCTTCCTGGGCTAGCTTTTAACTACTTTTTACCAGAAATCTCCATTCTTTTCTGAACTAGCTGTTATGGACATGAGTGGGATGGACTGCACTCTGAGGCCCCTTCCATTCTCTAAGTGCTCTCTCTGCCTTGCCCAAGAGGCAAGTAATACAAGACAGGAAGCTGGTCGAGGTGAGAAAAAGTATCACCAAGCAAAGACAGAGCTACTGGCTTTTGTGTTCATCTAGATGACCCATTCTTTTCTTTTTGTGGGAACCAGGAATCCTGCTCTACCAAAGGCAGAGGCATCAGGAAAACCCAGGGCTGTGGGAAGACAAACTTGCTGAGGGCTTCTTACCTTAAAGGAACCAAGAGACCAGTGGGAAGCAGGACCATCAGTGAACACAAAGCTGTACTAAGGGGAAATAGCAAGGGAGCAGAAAGAACTAGGAAGGACTGGAAAAGGTGTGTGGAACCTCAGGAAACACCTGGGTCAGGGAGAGAACACAGACGACTGTTATGGGACGGGGACAGGAAGAGAGCAGATGTCAGGGACAGCAACAGCAGCACCCAGGGAAAACCAACAATCACATCTCTTATTGGGGTGACAGCATCTCAAGGTAGCTTCAGCTACAACCTGACCTAAAACTCTATGGCTAGGGTGGAGGATATGACATTCTCCTCTGACCATCACAGCCCAATGGTTGTAGAGCAAGTATTTTTTATTATGTGGGTTCTGAGATCCAATTCGAGTCCTTCCTCATGAGGCACAGAAAGCACTGAGTCACTTCTCCAGTCCCTCAGTATCTCTTAAAGAGGTGATCAGGAGAAAGCTTTGTGTCCCCTTTCTAACTACTTACAGCCTTCTGATATGGGAACACTGAGAGAAAAAGAATACAAAGCACGCCGGGCGGCGGTGGCGCACGCCTTTAATCCCAGCACTCGGGAGGCAGAGCCAGGCGGATCTCTGTGAGTTCAAGGTCAGCCTGGTCTACAAAGCAAGATCCAGGACAGGCACCAAAACACCACAGAGAAACCCTGTCTCAAAAAACCAAAAACACAAAGATTCTACAAACACAACTGCCTTCCAGACGGGAAACTCCCTTGGCAAGAGATAATGCTACTTTCAGAAACACTGGCAAAGAACCTCCTAACCCTGCCTCAAGTAGACCCTCTTTGAAAGTAGGCATCTCATCTAAGTCGAGCTTGTTATCAAGTCTATGCCTGGAAAGAACTCATCTCTAGAGGGTGCATGTGGCAGATAGCTTGGTGATCATACCATGAGTGAAAATGGCATGCTTGGACAGCTTCACCCACTAAGAGGAGAAAACAGTAGAGATTGTAAAGAGTTAGTAGCAGCAAGGTACCAGGAGGATAGGAAAAATCCAATGGGGTGGGGTTGGGGCCGGGAGGAATCAAAAAAGGAAAGTTAGACAATACATTGGTTTCTTTTTCTTTCCTCTTTAATAAAGAAAGTAGTTCAAGAAAGCATTTTTCAGGTAACTGATTTGATTTTTGCAATTTCCTCAGTGGGGGCAAATAAATGGCAAGGATATCAAATGTGGGTCCCGTGGGCAAATACTACCCTGGCTTCTCAAGAAACTGTGAGGGAGAGAAGGGAGGGACTTAAGGTCCAAGTCTGAAAGCACGATGCCACTTGGTGGACCTGTGAAAGAACTGCAGCATTCAGATGGTTGTCAGCCACTATGTGGTTGCTGGGAATTGAACTCAGGACCTACTTGGGTCTGAGCGGCTGCAGACTAGGCGGGACACAAAAAAACTTCAGCTACAAAATGCTGTCGAATAATGCTTTTGTACACTGGTTTAATAAAACGCTGATTGGCTAGTAGTCAGGCAGGAAGTATAGGCGGGATAAGCAGACAAGGAGAATTCTGGGAGAAGGAAGGATGACTCTGGAGATGCCAGCCTGCTGTCCAGGGAGCAGTATGTAATGGCACGCAGGTAAAGCCACAGAACACGTGGCAACATTAACAAAAAATGGGCTGAGTTTTAAGTGTAAGAGCAAGTCAGTGGTAGGCTTGAGCTAATGGTCCAACAGTTATAATTAATATAAGCCTCTGTGTGTTTACTTGGGTCTGAGAGGCTGCAGTCCAGGCGGGACAAAAAAAAAAAAAAAAACTTCAGCTACACTGCAGTCAGCTAGATAGGATGGCGCATATCTTTAATCCCAGCACTCAAAAAGGACGAGGTAGGGCTAGCCAGAGATACACAGTAAGACTATCTCTAATAAATAAAGCATTTTTAAAAGAATTATAGTACAACTAAAAAGCCTGAATTCCATAAGGACTGGTAAAGGATGGATTAACACCAAACTGGAAAGGGTACACTAGACCCCAGTGCAAGTCAGAAGACAAAAACTTTCCAGGCGCTGGCAAGATGTCTCAATAGTTATGAGCACTGGATGTTCTTGCAGAGGATTTCATCTGGTCCCCAGCACCCACAACGTGACTGACAGCTCACAACTCCAGTCTAGTGGATCTGCTAACCTCTTCTGGCCTGCACAAGGACCAGGCAGAGAGAGACATAAAGTCAAAACACCCATACACATAAATGTAAAACAAGTCAAACCAAAACAAACAAACAAAAAAAATCCTTCTAGCCTGAGCATGCATTTCAATTTGAGAGCCAGGTCAACACTAAACAATCCTATCAAGCTACTCTTGAATCTGACAAGTTCTCTGAACCGAAGGCAACCCATCATCAGAGGCCAAATGACGGAAGTGTCTTAACTCTGGTGAAAGAAAAACATGCTATCATGTGGCATATAAGTGAAGCCAACCGAAGTAGGGAGGCAGGGAATCACTGGGGATTGAGTGGCCTCTGTGTGACAAAGACCAATGGATCACCAAGAGTTTTGCAAATCCTCATCTCTGTCCTTAAGGATCTAGAGACTACTAGGTAAGGAAGTCTTAGAATCCACAATCAATGTATCTGTGCCTCTTAACAGCAGGTTGCTCAGCCTATAGACCACCGAACTGAGAGCAATAGCAACCTATACACAAAGGAAGAAATGGCTGGGGATTATAATCTTATATTTCCTTTAAAAGGCAGGTCTGGGGGCTGGAGAAATGGCTAGGTGGTTAGAGCACTTGCACCTTACAGGTCTCAAGTTCAGTTCCCAGCACCCATGTCAGGCTGTTCACAACTCCCTTTAACTCCAAATCCAAGGCATCTAGTGTCCTCTTCTGGCCTCTGTGGGTACCCATACACATAAATAAAAATAAAATTAAAAATGATAAAAGGCAGATCATAAAGGTATTAAATATTACCTTTATTCTCCAATTTTAACCACCACTAACCCACTTAAAAGCCTTCTCCAGGTTGCTGAGGAAAGAGGGAGTGAAGGAAAAGCCAGCTGTGGTAGTCCCAGCATAGGAGAGGCTGATACAAGAAGATTACTGAAAAGTGGAGAACAGTTCACACACTCATGCTGCTCCACTCATGTACTCTGCAGGATTCTCAAGGACAGAGCCTGGGGACTACATCCACTAAGATCCATGATCACACAGACCAACACATCAACAGCCACTTCCCAACTAAAAGGCAAAGGCTTCCAAAAGCTGGTGGGAAAACATACCACTACTCTGGCTCACATATGAATACAACCGTGGCATGCTGTCTACAGCTGGTGGAGTGTTCCTGCCTACTTAAGACAGGTAAACCCCTTCAATTTTGAAGAGACTGGGGCCAGGTACAACACACATGCTTTTTGAACAAGAGCAACAGAATATAGGTGAAGGAGAAGGGAGAGAAGACTTTCAGTGGAACACAAAACCAGCTACCCTATTTCAGTTTTAACAACTCTGACTTTAAATGTGTGTGTATGCATTACTTAAAATGTTACATATGCTTTTGGGAGGAGCTGGACAGTGTTCGATGTCAGTCTAGTCTATACCGAGTTCTAGGACAGCCAGGCCTACATAAGAGAGACCCTGTCTCTAAAAAACAACAAAAAGAAAAACAACAAACAAACAAACAAAAACCAACAAAGGAAACAACAACAAACCAACCTCTTCCCAAGTCCCGCAGCATTACTATGAGTGAAGTAACAGAGTAACAACTTCCTAGGCCCATACAAGGTATGGCCTACCCTTCTTGGAGCCTCACCTGGAGTTTTCGAGCCATGGCTACCACTTCATGGTCAGGGGGGTTGTACTTGTAGCAGTTGGAGAACATCAATCGGACATCAGCACCAAATTCCTGGGCATCTCTGTATTCACGGGACTCTAGTTTAGACTGGAAATACAAGAGAGGCCCTAGTTAGCCATGTGTGTTTGTGTTCTGGGGTGTGTGTGTGTGTGTGTGTGTGTGTGTGTGCGCGTGCGCGCACGCGCACAGTGATGTTTGTGAATCAAGATGGTCTCTTAGTGGCTCTCAGTTTAATCCAGGCTAGGCTATGGGGTAAGGGGACACAGAAAACAATAAATAGGTCATCAATCCAGTTCTCAGCACGAGACAAGGAGAATGTCAAGCCTCGGGGCTGGGAAATGACCTGGTAGCACCAAGCTTACCTACTAAGGTCACTAAAGTCTAAAGGGAAACTGAACACACAGAACCCCAGAAGAGATTGTGCCAGAGCTGATGAGAAGATTAAAAAAAAGAGGACTGGATCCAGTTCTGATTTTGTTTTGCATGTACTTATATAGAGGGTACAGAATAGAAGTTGGTTCAAGGAACACAGCACTGTCTCCTGTTTGATCAATGTTATTCTACTTCCAGGAGAAAAATCACAATTATTAAAAAAGAAAAGAAAAAGGCCTTCAAGTACTTTGGTGGATAGTGCTGTGTCTCCTATAGAAGACAGTAAAGCCTTTCCCATCACACTGAACCCAGAGCACCCACAGTCTCCTAAGTGTATCTGCCAGGTGCAAGGTGCACAAGGGCATCTTACATCTCCTTATACAAAGAAAAGAGGCAGAACCATTACCTAAATCAAAACAGCCAAGTAACCTAGGTTAGTGTGTGTTTCAACAATGCCCTGCAGAGGGCACCCACGGATTTAATGGGTTGGTCTAGGAGAAATCTTGTCTCTGCCCACAATCCCAGGGGCCTGTGGCTAACCTTGATTGTGCTCATGTCCATGGGATGTTTAATGATGTCACAGTAGTCGTGCAGGCCCAGTGCCTCCACATCCACAGGCTTGTAGAAGGGCCAGGCATAGGCAGCATGTTTCTTGGCGAACATCTCCTTGAGGATGCCACTGCAGCACTTTAGCTGCTCAGAGATCTTGCTGCTCTTCTCTGGTGCTGAGTGTTGCTGTGAGTCTGGTACATCCTTCTTTGGGGGCTTCACAGGTCTGCTACTCTCCCGCCGAGGACCCAGCTTGGCGGTCTTAGGCTCTGGGGCCAGTGAGGGCGGCTCATGAATGGGGTCAATGGTGGTGGGGGTGGTGGTATCTGCTTTCCTCTTCACCCCTTTCTTTGTCTGCCATGAGCACAGGTACAAAAGGCTCAGTCAGAGGCTCAGGCCGATACAGCTGCTCTTCAGGAGCACCTCAGAAACCAAGCCCTGACTAGGATCTCAAAACAGGCCCAAAATGGAGACCCTGACATACCACTATTTATCACAGCTGGGATAGAACCAGTCAGCAACAGAAAAGCACAAAACTGAATATTTGCTCCCTTAAGAGGCCAGAGAAGCTACTGAAGAGGTTTCCTGTTTAATACCAGGGCCTTGACCATAGAGGCCATAGAAGGAACAACCAAAAAAGAAGACACCCCTCTCCTCCAAGCCCATCCCTGGTGGCAGCAGTCCACCAATACCCAGGATGCTTACCTTCACAGGCTGTGGGGTGGCTGCAATGATGGGAGGGTGACTCTGAACAGGCTGTGGAGCTGGAACAGGTGGGGGCGGTGGCTGGGGGGGGTACTGGTGGAGGCGTCTGAAGTGGCTGGGGGGGCACCACTGTCACGATAGGAGGCTGGACAATGAGGTCTGGGGTGACAGCAGGAAAGGGGTGAGTTGTGGCCTGCACAGATGGAGGAGGGTTCGGCTGAGGTGTCTGGGTCTGCGGAGGAGTTGATGCTTGAGTTGTGTTTGGTACCGTCGATACACCAGGCTTTGCTGTCCCTACCAATCGTGAAAAGGATAGGAGGTTAAAATGGTATGCTGGCATACATTGGCTGACCCTGCCAAAACACCCATACAGATTTGTGTGGTACATCTGCTTTAGTGAGAAGACCGTCCTGAACATTCCAGACACCACTGTATGCCAAACATATCCGTGTGTCCCCAGGGTTGAGAAGGCAGCAGCACCTCAGAAACCTCATTTCCTGAGGTGTCCTGGAGGCAACTCCTCAGACACAGACTTTCATAAGGAGGGAAACCCAGGCTAAAAAAGTAGAAAACCTATATACTGAGTGTTAGCACCAGGGCAGCACATGGAAATCAGAAAAATGTTCCTTGAGAATCCAAATAGAGCTTTCTTCATTCCCAGAAGTGTTCCCTTCAGAGTGCTTTTGGCAGAATCCAGCAGCAGCCATCCTTGCAAGGTTTCTGAAAGCCAGCATGAGCTCAACTCTCAGAGCCAGTGAGGACTAGTACACAATTGCTGCCTCTCGTGACTAGCCAGGCTGTTTCCCTGCAGTTGTACCACACATAAGTCCCAACACAAAAAAAATACACATGCCACACCAAATCAGTGTTACAAAGGATTTCAACCTCAGCTCAAACATGAGCTGACGGGACCAGGAACTATAGCCCATACTGCCATACCCTTTGCACATACGCTGGATGCCATGCAAAGAGAACAGACCCAACACCCTATAAACGCAAGTCTTCAAAACCTGTAATCACAGCAGTGAGGAGGCCAAGGTACAAGGATTGAGGGTTTGGGGCAGCCTGGGATATATAAATACAGACCCTGTCTTAGAAGAAAGGGAAGAAATGGAGAAAGGGACAGGAAAGAAGGAAGAAAAAGCACTCTGCAGCCATAGGCTGTCTTAGAGCAGTGCCCAGTACCATATGAAGAACAAGGGAGAAGTTCTATTGAGTTTTCCAATTTTCTTTATCTAGTCACCAAGCCTGGACCTCATCCAGGACTTGTAGAGAAGACATTTCCATGCTTGCCCTATAAATAATCCTAACTGTTGGCCCTGGAAAGTGACCAGTAGACTCTGAATGCATGGATAAGGGATGTGACTTAATATGCTAAAGGAGTGACCTGGTTTTGAGTAGCAGTGCACATCTGTAACACCAATACTCAAGAGGCATGAAGACTTGAGCCTGAGTTAACACAGAGACCCTGTCTAAAAGGATGGGGAGGGAAAGAAGGAGAAAAGAGCGGGGGAGCATCCATGTGAGCGACTAGTTTTCTTTGGTTATTCTAAGAGCTAAAATGGATTTAATGGTCCCCTGTGTCTTTGCAAGGTGGGAGGCCAGGCTAAAAGCATCTCTACAAAGAAAGGTTTTAGGATTGAGACACTAGTTACAATAGCTTCTGGTCAGATTAATTTCCTTATTCTAAAAATGGAAAAGCAGGGCTAGAAATGAAATTCAATAGTTAAGTGCTTGTCTAACAATGTGGGTAGTGCTGATTTGAGTCTTAGAACCACAAAATAAATAATAATAAAATTAAGATAGAAAAGCAAAAAAAAAAATCTACAGCACTAAAATTTTTTTTTTTTTTTTTTTTTTTTTTTTTTTTTTTTTTAACCTAAATCCATGAACCACTCACAGCCCAATTACTTCTGCCAAGGTGGGATTTCAGGATCTGTGGGAGCCCTAGGAGCCTGGGAGCACAGGCAATACTGAACCTAATCCCATCTGTACAAACGACAGCACTGTAATATTTACTGTCACCACTTAATGTCCCTATAATCACTGGTACTCTTCTAAACTTGGAAAACAAAGATAAGGGAAAAACACAGCTGACTTACTTGCTGTTTCAAATACTCTACCTGTTTCTTTCCTCCCTCGTCCTCTTCCTTTTGTCTGGACTATCATGATCTCAGTTTCTTCTGTGGGCAGTTCATTGATTTTTTGCAAGAAGAGCTTCTCCAGAGCTTCTGCCATTAAGACGATGTCATCTCCAGGCTGGATGAGGAAACAGGTGGGGTAGAGCTGGAAGGCCCTCTCTTCCCATCTTTGTGGACAGGACACCAAGGCCACCCCATGCCCCAATACTTAGAGCATTGTATCCAGGCTCCTTCTGTGATCTGGACTCCAAAGGGCCACAATGGTTATGCTACTAGGTATCCCTAACAAAACTTGTCCACCTGTATCTCCCTTTCAGTTTTAAGCTCCAAGAAACCATCCTTGTGCCTTATGTACCTACCAACTCGGTCAATCTCTAACTGGAAGGCCTCCTTTACTTTGGGGTTTCTTCAAATACAACTCAAATGAACTCACCAGAAATACTCAAATTATGCAGCATTTCTTGTGATGAATACTTTAGGACTCCAACAATGCTCCCCAATACACCCCAGAGGTAGTTCAGTGGGGTCTGGAAGAAGCCCTTATCACAATGCCTTACTGATCCCCACTCTATGACCATGTCCAGAACATGCTGTCCCCATTCAGCTCTAAACTGAGGGCCTAGTCTGTACATTTTGCTTTCACCTAAGTGGTGAGAACTAAGGCTTTACAAAACACAGTAAACTTCAAGAAACTCACCTACCCATCTCTTCTGGGCAATTTTACCCACTACACGAGCAGAGGTCAAAAGCTGAGTTCTGTATAGTGTCTCCCTCCAGAGTCGTTCTATTTGAAAGGGTTGGTTTTAATCACATCTGTGGTCTGAACTGTAAACAAATGATCTGGCTTCATGGCACAGCCGAGCCGAAAGGTTTGGCTACGGGGTTAGGAAGTGACCCTTGGGTCTGTATGTAAGACCAGGGGGACACTCGATTTTATGGCCATGTCCACAGTTCCAGGAGACTGTGACCCACAGAACAGTGGAGTCTGCAACTAGCCCCACTGTACCCTCTCACTTCAAAGTTTGTGCCTGAGCACACCTCTGCAAGACTCTAGTTGCACAGGTTCTTTCACCTAACAATTTACACAATCCCGATGGACCATCTGGTGTCATCTGTCCTCATATGTTCTCTACCAGACATGCTCAAGAACTAAAATAAAATTCCCAGAGTACTAGAGGCAGGTGCTACAGGCTAACAAGAACAGTACCCTCCTCCCCACAAAAGAAACCCTCAGCCCTAGGCATAATTACAGGTCCCATCACCCTACCTCTGGAAGTCTCTTACTATCATACTTACAGCCCAGCTGCTCCCAGCAACCCTGACCCTAGGCTCCTGACAAGCACCCCATTTTTACTTCCTCTCCTTCCCAAGCAGGACTGGACCCCTGCCCCCCACATCTCACCTTGTTGTAGATATAACAATTTGTAAACATAGTGTTGAAGTCCTGGATACATTCCTGAGCATTCCAGTAATAGTTGTTTTCCAAGCGCTTCTTTATTGTTCCCATATCCATGGGTGTTTTAATGATCTTATAGTAATCCTGAGGAGCAGAGAGATCAAAGAAGGCCAGAGTCACCTGAGAAGTCATGCTGGACTAGCTACCTGTGCTTGAGCCCCTCTCTCTCCAGTCAATCAACTATTTTCTCAATGGCTGTCAGTAAGGAACTGAAGGCAAAGGTGGGTAGAGGACAGATTCCTAAACACTAGATGGCAAATGTACAAGCTAACAGGCTGTCTTCACAGGAAAAACAAATGCAAATACTTTCTTTAAAAAAAAAAATGAAAAAAGAAAAAAAGGGGGGGGTAATTTTGTATACACAATATATTTGATATTTGCCCTCATCCCCCAGCCCCCTCACCCAGGCCTCCTCCTTGCCCTTTTTAAATATTCCTCTAAGTCAAATTAGTGCTGCCTGTGTGCACACGGGTAGGACCGTTAGGAACATCAGCAACTTCCCAATGGACATATCCCCAAAGAAAACTGACTCTCCTTCCCCAGAAACCATCAATTGTCATTAGCTCCTCAGGTAGGGGAGGGGCTTTATAAGCTCCCCTTTTCTTTTAGGAGAGTGTTAAAATAGCCTTTCATTCTAAATAAGTATCAGGGAAATCACCATCTTTTAAAAAGTAGTTCTTGGGGATTGAGGGACAAAGGACAGCATCAAGGTACAGCATCAAAGTGGGCAATAAGGTTTTGAGTTGTGCTGACACCCATAAAGAAAGAAAAAGCCGGGGCTGGAGAGATGGCTCAGAGGTTAAGAGCACTGGCTGCTCTTCCAAGGTTCTGAGTTCAATTCCCGGCACCCACATGGTGGCTCACAACCATCTGTAATGAGATCTGGTGCCCTCTTCTGGCCTGCAGGCATACTGTATACATAATAAATAAATAAATTTAAAAAAAAAAAGAAAGAAAGAAAGAAAAAGCCACTATTACCCATGTAAGAGGAGGGACACAGAGGTGCTCTGCTCTGGTAAGGGCTGCATGTGCATACCCAAACCAAAAGGCAACTCAAAATCTGACTTTCAAACCTGTATCAAGCTGTAGCCTCCCTTCCAAAGAAAACTAATGACAAAAATATTAACCCCTGTGGAAATCTAGACAGATTTTACTCTGTGACCTGCATTGCAGACTGCGACAAGTCTCTCAAGGGCAAAAGGACATCAATAAAGGGCAAACAGAAGAGCAATGGGATTAAAGAAAAGTTGGGGAAAGGGACTGATAGCTAAGGCAGTAGCTTTAAGGTAGGAGGACAAGAGGTCAAAATGCATGTGAAGGCATGAGGCCCCAGAAAATACAAAGGGGGACCTGTAAGGTGGCTCTTTAATAGCTCCAGAAAAGTATGAGCTCTTAGGACACCAGCTGGTCAGCTCCCAGGTCTACTTAGAGTTAGGGTTTTGAGATCACTCTTGGGATATTATAAGTTCTTAGTTCCTGTTCCAATAACATGCCTACCTGCCGCCACACTCCCAACCATGATGGCCATGGACTAACCTAACCCTCTGAAACTGTAAGCAAGTCCCCAATTAAACACTTTCTTTTATGAGCTACCTTGGTCATGGTGTCTCTTCACAGCAAAACAACAGTAACTTTTTTACCTGTGGATCCTGCATATCCCTGCTACAGACCCATTAAGTTCCCCAAAGAGCCTCCTGAGTGACCTGCAGGCCATCACTGCCAGCTGCTTGTATTGCTCCTTAGTCAATGGTGGGCACTCCTCCCCCTCACATCTCCTTTCTAGCAAGTTTATGACCCGTGTCTCTTCTCCTGATACCAGAAGACATATTTGGTGGACACACATGAACATTTATCACAGCCGTGGTTTTCAAGACAGGTCAGAGGAGGGTATCACATTTTGTTATTTTGTCTCCCCCGCCCCCCACCAGAGCCGAGGACCGAACCCAGGGCCTAGCAAGCGCTCTACCACTGAGCTAAATCCCCAACCCTGGGTATCACATTTTGGAGAATTTGAACACGTGGCAGAGACTAAGGCTACCAACTCCCCATGAGGAGTTCTAACTCTCATAGACCCAACATGGATAATGGCTACCATCACATAACACATCTGACAGGAGGGCATGGAACTTAACGCATTCCAGAGAGCAACTCAGAAACCAAGCACTGGTTTTTGAAGGAGAAATATGAAAGCATTTGTTGCAATCACTCCCTGAGGTTCAGTGAGGTAGTTCAGTTTATAGAGCTGTCTGCTAGGGATGTGCACAAATGGGATATTCTCCAAGAAAGAGAAAAACACAAGATCAAGTATGTTGTGGTGAGAGATAGGGAGTGTAATATCTCCAGGGGACATGTAGCACAGTCCCCTTCCAATCATGCCCCCTAGGAGATGTACCACCTTCGAAGTGCTTTGGTGGTGATGAAGTAACTGCTGCTCAGTAAATCAGTCCCCTTTCTACACAGGCTGACCAACCATAGCTTAGAGGCGAAAGGGGCTTGGACTATTAGTTGAGGCTCTGACTTCAGCTCACCTCGTTTTAACCCCTTTATATACAACTTTCCATGGGATCTCAATTAACTAAGAAATCACTTTATGTCTAAGTCAGTTAGCTTCCCCTTTTTCTTTTCCTATTTAATTTTCAGGATGGCTGCAACCATATACTGAAAGGCTACTGTGGATACTGGTGTTCAGAGTTCTTACCATGACTCCAAACCCACTTCCACCCTTCTGCAGAATCTGCCTTCACTGGGAGACTGAGGGTGGTGGTAGTACAGGCCCTGCCCAGCTACTCACAGGGAGGTTCAGCTTGACGGCATCCACAGGCTGCTGGAAAGGCCACGCAAACTGGTGTTTCCATAGTGTCTTGAGCACCACTCTGAGCAGATATTGCAGTTGATTGGTCTGCCTCTTGGGCTTATTAGGGTTGGAAGTCTCTGGGGGTGGAGGATTGGTGCTGGCTGCATTTGCTGGCTGGGTTTGGGCCTGGGCCTGCGTTGTAGACATTTGGGAGGTTTCCAGTCCATCCCCCATTACTGGCAGATTTCTCAATCTTGTCCCAGGGCCGCTCTCCGTAGACATGCTAATGATCCCATCACATTCTTCACCAGGCACTCTACACAGAAAGAAAAAAAGTCCCATCAGAGACCAGACAGCACATGGACCACACTAGAAATGACAAATGACCCTAGCACAGACTCCCAAGATTGTGTTCCATTGGCACCAACTGATCAGAATGGCTGGGAGAGCTACTCCATGACCCAACTAAAAGGGCCCTAGTGCCTGTCTCTTCTAAGACTGGCCATCTAAGTGGGCTTAGTGATAAGGGCCTGTAATCCTAGTTACTCTGGAGGCTGAGGAAGGTGGTTTGCCAGGTTTAAGATCTATCTGGACAACTCAGTCAGATTCTTTCTCAAAACAAAAAATAAAAAGGAGACTGGGTGGATATAGCTCAGTGGTAAGAGTACATGCCTAGCATACACAATCCCAGCACCACAAAAATACTGACCATGTTGATTGGCCAGTAGCCAGGCAGGAAGTATAGGTGGGACAAACAAAAGAGAACTGTGGGAAGTGGAAGGCTAAGGCAAGGAGACACTGCCAGCCGCCACCATGACAAGCAACATGTAAAGATACCGGTAAGCCACAAGCCATGTGGCAACTTATAGATTAATAAAAATAGGTTAGATAGAAGAACTAGATAGCAAGAAGCCTGCCACGGCCATACAGTTTGTAAGCAATATAAGTCTCTGTGTGTTTACTCGCTTGGGTCTAAGCGGCTGCAGGACTGGCGGGTGAGAGAGATTTGTCCTGACCGTGGGCCAGGCAGGACTGGAGAAAACTCCAGCTACAAGCAGAGCACTCAGAAAGGGCTGATCAGGAACAGGTGAAACCACCGAGTTCACAAGGAGAAGGTATAATAACGCTATGTTTCATAAACCTGCATGACCCTGTCCTCACTTGAAGACCTTTGGAGGATGCTGGTTGTATGACAGGATACGATATGTAAGCCCTTATGAAGCACAAAGTCAAATCAATACTTCTATTTAGACCAGGGCTACAAAGGGGAAAGAGCAGCAAGATAAAGCCTTTTCACCTGGTTTTGGACAGCTTCACAGTTACTAAGAACATTTTCTGGGTAACTCAAATAATGCATGTTACTGAGAAAAGAAATCTCATTAAAGGTTACTGCTCATTTTTTAAAAAAGTTCATAGTTGTCTAACTGTCCCAATGAAATAAACTAAGGCTTATAAATAAATGAACCACAGCTCAAGGACTAGCATGGTCCTCCTCTGATCCTCAGTTCACAAAGAATATTTTTAGGAAGTGGGAAGAGGGAGGGTGCTTCATGGATATAAAACCTTGTCCTGGCATCTCTGACACAGCATCAGAGATGGTGAAAGGGTACCAACAGCTGAAACTAAATGTGTAGCTGCCTCACAGATGTCTGATGGGGCTGATGATAAAGACCAGCCAAGCAGCCTGTGAAAAGCACCCCAAAAAGTGAGTGATGGGTTCAGGACCAAAATGTGGTAATTCCCTGGAACAACTTCATTGGAGGCCAAGCATCATGGACTACAGTGGCTTCTTTCCTTTAAAATATTTTGGGGGGGGGGGGGGAGGGAGGGAGGGAGGGAGGGAGAGAGAGAGACAGAGAGACAGAGAGAGACAGAGAGAGAAGGGCAGGCGCAGAGAGAGAGACAGAGACAGAGAGACTCCAATGAAGCTAAAGGACAGACCTCCAGTTTGCCACAATCAGGTTTCTCCTAGAAAGCTTAGGATATGCCTGTAATCCCAAAACTGGAGAGGCTGAGGCCAACCTGAAACACACAACTGTCTCAAGCAAACAAAACATACATGAACAAGCACACACACCCTCCCTCTCCTGATGCTGTGTATTGAGCATGAGCCAAGTGAGCAAGGGAAGGGGGGCCACAGAGCAGAGGGACAGGTTAACAGTCCAGGATTCTCATCCTCACCCACCACAACACTGTTAATAAATACCATCCCTGTATACAACTGTTGAAAATGAAAAGCTCTGGGAATTTCAAGAACCCACTCCTACTGCAGCGAGCCCTGCCCCCAAATAAAAACAAAACAAGCATGATGAAAGCTAACCAGAACCTCTTATCCAACCCCTTGGGCAAGGAAATGACTCCCCTATAGCACAGAGGTGACCTATTCAGCCTCCCTTGGTAAATTCCCCCTTTAATGTCATCCTCACTGGGTCTAAATCATCTATGCTCCACAACATGACTACCACTATCCCTGTCACCTTCACATCTTTTACTTGCTATCTCTGCTAAAAGCACACACAGAGAGACAGGTCCCAACCTCCTACCCAGCACCTGATGCTTCCTTGATCTTCACCTGTTACTTCCAGTGGGTGGACACACACAAACGAGTCTTAAAGCCTGTTTCGAAGTCACTCTCTTTCTATTACACAGAAGACTGTTACTGTGGGGCTTCTGGCTCAGTCTCATGGCTCTGGAAAAGCAGCACTCATGTGGACAATGTGGTAACTATCAGACTGAGTCACTTACTTAGCCAGTGAGTCTCACTGGAGCTCTATGGCAGCCTGGGGTATTTAGCAATTGACATGACATTCCCTTTGAGTTGACAAAGTAATATTTCAGTCAATACCATGGGAAAAAAAAAAAGAAAGAAGGGGGAAAAAAGTCTGGGCTGCTACTCCTGCATGGACTGGGAGAGAAGATACTGTACTGATGGCAAGGCACACCACATGTGTTCCTATGGTGAGGTCTGCAGAGACGGGTCTTATTAGTACACCGACAACAGAGGAAGTGATCTAGACAAGAGACACAGCAGCATCTATGAGGATCAAACAGAAGAGTAGCTGAGAATTTTGATAGTTAAGTCAACTGTTTTCAAGCCAACTTTTCCATCTAGGGGGTCAAAAAAGAAAGTTGCTGTCAAGGAATAGTGAGAGAATTTCACTTATTTTCAATCCTAAATACTTGCCCTGATTCTGAATCTGTTCCAGAAGAAATCCTGTAATAACTTGTTTTGAGTTTAGAGACATAATAAGGGGAAAGATGAAGCAAGGGTAGACAGTGGGGTGCTAATGCCAAGGTGCCCTAGGAGGGGCACCTTGTTAAAGTGAGAGGGGCACTGTGAGCACTATTAACACAAAGAAATTGATCATGTTAGGCTCTAGTATATTCCTTTCAATGGGGCTGTAATTTCCAAAGCTTTTTATTATTGTAATAAGAAGCAAGAATCACAGAAAAAAAATCCATATAGAAGGAGGAAGCAGGTGGTGTCCACACTGGTTCTGAGAGGTTGTATTTTACTATATAGCACTTGAGAGAGACAGACTGTGGTGATTTTTTTTTTTATGTTAATAAATAAACTTTGCCTGGAGATCAGAGGAAATAGCAAGCTGTTTTAAGTAAACACAAAAGTCAGGCAATGATAACACATGCCCTAAATCCGATCACTTAGCAGGCAGCGTCTCTGTGTGTTCAAGGCCATACTAGGGAACACAGCCAAGCGTGGTGACACACGCCTTTAATCCCAGTACCAACCATAGAGACCTGGAGGTCGGTACAGACAGGCAGTGACAAGGAAGTGAGGTAGCTGGGCTAAGAGTCAGTAAGAGGGCAGAACAGCAAGGTAATAAAAGCCTGGGTAGAAAGGAAGTCATGGCATTTGAAAGCTGCAGAGCTGGTGAGGTAAGGTTGGTTGGTGGCTCTCACTATTTCCCTGATCTCTAAGGCTTTCACACCTATATTTGGCTCCGTTTTTTTTTTTTTTTGAAACATTTATTTATTTATGCATATGACTACTCTTTCTGCATGTACACCTTTATGTCAGAAGAGAGCATCAGATCTAACTATAGATGGATGGTGCACAATCATAATGCGGGTACTGGGAATTGAACTCAAGACCTTTAGAAGAGCAGCCAGAGCTCTTAACCACTGAGCCATCTCTCCAGATCCCGGCTCCGTGTTTTTTATTTAATAAGACCTCTTAGAAATTCGGCTACAACAGACTGTCATTTGTAAGTAACTATATACACAAATAAAGAATTCTCCTTCCAAAAAATTTCACTTGTTTCAACAGCAACACAGCTGTTGGGGCATTAGCAGTTCCAGTTGTTTGTACCTACGGAATAAACAAAACTGAGCGTTTCTTTTAGCCTAGGTGCATGTAAAAAGACAGAGAGTACCCTTACTTGTTTTACACACACAGGTATGTTTGTGCTGGGTATATCCATGTGTTTGAATGTGTGTAGGCCCTCGGCTGACTTTGAGAATTATCATTTTAATTGTTCTTCCATCTTAATTCATTGAGGCAAGATCTTTCGATCAAGCATAGGGCTCACTGATAATGCTGGTCTTGCTAGCCAACTTGTCCCTGTAGCCACTGTGCCCATTCTGCATTTATGTGGGTTTCTGGGTATCTGAACTCTGGTCCTCATGCTTAGGTAGCAAGTACTTAACCTCTGAGCCATCTCCACAGGCCCAACCTTGAGATTTTTAAGGATGCTGTGAAAAGTTTGGGAACCTCTAAATTAATGGATGTGGATAATATATACGCGCGTGTGTGTGTGTGTGTGTGTGTGTGTGTGTGTGTGTGTGTGTGTGTGTGTGTGTGTGTATTAATGGATATATACACCCATTAACACAAACTGTATGTATGTATGTGTGTATATAATTCCCAAAGTTTAGCAGCTTCTGATTAAGCATGTCTTCTTCTCAAGGACACCTCAAAAAGGGGGGTGGGGATTTATTTATTATGTGCATGCAGTGTTGTGTCTGCAGGCCAGAAGAGGGCACCAGATCTCATTATAGATGATTGTAAGTCACCATGTGGTTGCTGAGAATTGAACTCAGGACCTCAGGAAGAGCAGCCAGTGCTCTTCACCTCTAAGCCATCTCTCCAGCCCCCTCAAGGACATTCTTTGATACCATCTCCCCTCTTATCATTGTTATAAGATTATTTAAGAACAGCTGATAGCTCAGAGGTGGTGGTACATGCCTTTCATCTCAGCAATCAGGAGGAAGAGGCAGGGGAACCTCTGAGTCTAGGACAGCCAGGGCTACACATTGAAACCCTGTGAAGAAGAAAAGAAAAGGGAAAAGGAAAGG